GCTGCAGAAAATCGCTATTTTGCTCCTGTTTTTTGTTATCATTGTTATAGTCAAACTCATGCAACAAATGATTTCTACGCTTATTAAGACCTCTTTCATCAGACTTCAGAAAACCATCAACTTTGCTCCTCTTGTTTTGTTATCATGTTGATCATGTTCAACCGGTTGGATCAGGTTTTATAAAATTATTTGTCAATTTCATGTAGAAGTTAATAATAAAATTATGTATCTTCTGCAGGATGAAGGTTTTTTATAAAGTAAGTTAACTATACTATAGCTATCAAATAATTTTACTATCAATTTTAAAATAAATTATACATGATGGACCAACCATTATAAATAACTATTATATATGAGAGTTTAATTGATCAATTTTGAATCACTAATGAGCTTGACTCATTTTCTATTTTGTATATCAATAATATTCACTCATTTTCTATTCTGTATACCAATAATTGTCTTAATTATTCTTCTTCATCTTCATCGGTCTCAAGATCCTCGGCCAAGTTCGAATATGAAGTAAGTATTCAACATCAGCGGTATCTCCCTTGTTTGTACAAGTAAAACCACTAACTGACGAAGAAATTGAGGTTAACATATAAACAAAGGCATGCATGACTACAAACTAAACGAAACAAATTTAGATGAAACCAATGCATGATCATCGTAGCATTGGTGAAGCGACCTCAGGGTAACAACAACAATAACTGAGTGCCTGAATCAGACTCAAACATTCGCGTTCCCTTAATGCTAACTCCTCTCTTTCTTTTACTGGTATGCAATAGTGTTCCATTCATTCCTTCTCAGTCCTCTATAGATACAATCATAACTTTTGTGTTCTCTATCACTTGCAAAAGAAAGATTTCAAGATACTAAAGGATGCAGAACATGTTCTTTTCATCCTCATCTTCAGCTACGTGCTCAAGTAACGTTGTTAACATTTCATATCCTCATCATCTTCTTCTTTCTCTTCCAATTAGGGTTTTCGATGCTATTTTGACCTTTCCTATTACATACATGCTCTCCACTGCGACCAATGCCGTATCTCCTTCCATTGCAACAGTGTATTGCTTCACTATATAATTCACCATGGCCGATTCCGGTTGATGATAACACAAAGACAGAGCAAAAGTGATATCAGAAACGTGACTCTCAAGTAAACCGGAAAATCCTAAAAAATCAATACTTATATATATAAAGTTTGGGTTTAGTTCTTATTTTAAATTTTAATTAAAAAAATATTGCTTACAAAACAAATATCTACAAACACTAAATCAAGCACATAAAGAGACATTTCTTTACCATATATGTGATTTCCATATATGTGATTTCTATCTGCCCTTTCTTAATATGTTTTCGTTTAATCAAACTGGAAATCTTAGTTCTCTCCTTATGAACATAAAGAGACAAATACAAAAACAAAAAGCGTAACATGATCCAGATTTAGGATACTCACATTTTTTATCATACGTCAAAAAGAGAAAAAACTGAAAACCTAATTTTAATATCAAATTAGTTAAATTTTTCAATTAATATCAAATAAGAAATAAAAGAAAGTTTACTTCACTTTAAACCTACTTCAGAAAAAAAATTACTTTTCTTTCTAAAAGATAGAATTTATCAATTTTCTTTTTTTTTTTACTTTTATTTGGTAAAAGATCATGTCCTAATTTTACAAATTTCTTTTTGCGTCATTATCTAATAAGAAATAAAAAATTTACTTTAGTTAGTTAAATTTTTTCTTGCCGCTATCGAATAGTATGTTTTTTTCTTTTTAACTGAAAATTCTTTAGATAAGAATATTTATTGCATAATTTAGACATTTATCTGTAAAAGATATAAACCTAAAAAATAAAATTTGCATATCTCTACACGATTTTATTGTGTTATCCTAGTCAAAAGATTGAAACTAAAATCATTTTCTTCAAATTTATGTTTAGTTAAATTTAACAGTTAGCCATTTGTCTAGATTTTTCTTTAGCCAAATTCGGTTCACCGAATTATTTCCCCATTTGTAAGCAATTATGCCTTTACCTTGTTAGGACTTTGTATTTGATAGAGCCGTCTTATGATCCTAAGCTCATAACTTTAGATATTGTAACATGCAATGTTAACGTTTCTTATCCTCGTCATGATCTTCTTCCTCTTACTGACTGATTGGGGTTTTCAATGCACAAAACTTAGTCACTCCCATCTTTGACTTTTGTGTGCATGCTCACTACCATTGACTTTCCCATATCTTCGAGCTTATGTAGTGTGTTGCTTCACTATATACTACACTATGTCTGATTCCGCTTGATCATAACCCAAATACATAGCAAAAGTAATTCAAGACACTTGTAATTCAAGTAAACTACAAAGCTACAGAAATCACTACGTATAAGTATAACATTTGCACGCATTTATTGTTTGTTTTAATTAACAAAGAAAATATGCATTAAAATATCAATAAAAAGTAAAGCAAGTACACCCAAATAGTCTTGTCTAGTGGATTGGTTTCTATAACAACCGAAACATTACAAAAAAACAAAAATAATAAAAAATAAGATAAACTATTAGTCAAGTTATGGCCTAACGAATCTAAACCTGTGCGGTCAAGAATCAATATTTATATATGACAACTTAGGTAAAACTGTCGTAACTATCTTCTAAACTTTTTTTTCTCTTTTATTAGAAATTTTCTATATAAGAAGATTTGCCGCATAGTTTAGAATTTTTCTACAAGTTTTATAAATATAATACAACAAAAATTACATATTCAAAACCTTTATCGTCTTTACCCTCTCATCCTAAAAGATCGAAATCCAAATCGAAACTATTCTTTTCTCATTAAGGATATTTTCCAGTTTTTCTACGTCAACTTTCGAACAAAAAGTTGCCCAAACTAATTTTAACGTGAGTTTTCAAATAATTTTTAGAAGATATTATTGGATGTGTATTCTAGAATCTTACCAACAAAATATTAGTATAATTTACATTAAAATCCTTATTACTAAATATCTCCATTACTAAATAGTGAATACCATCTCCATTGGGTATCTCACATCAATATAATATTAATATATTTAATGTTAATCATATTTAAACTTTTATGTTAAATTTTTGTGAATATTTTTAAAACATATCAAATTATATCAAAATAAAATTTAATTATCTTAATTAGTTATATTTATTTATAAATTAACTTTCTAATAATATTAAATTACTTTAAATAAGAGTTTCTAAATGTCTCTAGTTAAAAAAATCCAACGGAAATGCTCTTACATGTCAACTACCCTTTTAAAATTTAAATTTTTCTAATTTTAATTAATCTAACACAAATGATGTAACGTTAAATTAATATTGTCAAAAGTTTATTTATTTAAATATTCTATCTTGACAATAATTGATTACATCCATAATTTTTATTTTTTTTAAATCATAATGTTAGTACGTAAAAATCAGTCACAAGCCAACGTAACCTTATTACTCGTGTTCTTCTTCCTCTTTTTTTATTGTTCTAGACGAAGATTTACTGAAAACAATAGAACACACGATTAGATTATTCATTTGAAACAATCAAGCGAACATACTATTTAACTTCATAATTTATTTTATACCATAATTTTTTAATATAAAATCATTCTTCCAATCATGCCTTCCTTTTTTAACAGCAATTCTTCCAATCATGCTTATGCTTTGGATTTTGTAAAATTATTCACTTTTGTATCATAAGAAGGATTACTCCAAGGAGAAACGATAATCAAACAAACAATGAAAGCTTCATTCTTTCATCCCAATACAAAATGTAAATTTCCGCAAAATGTGAAAGCAACATCAGCTTTTTCACCAAAGTTTCGTAAGCTTATAGCAAGAGATATAGCCTTGTTTGTCTGCAAGCCGCAGAGACACAGGAAAGCCACCAAAAAATAATAAATAATCGTTGCTTAGGATCAAGTATGTGGAGAAGGTGTCGCTTGGTGTTGAATACAGCGATGTGGAAGGCTTAATTCTTTGTCGCTAATTAAAACAGCGACTACAACACATAACTAACAACGTCATCAGTAATCATTTTCAGCGACCGTAGTCAACTTCACCGCTATATCTTTGTCACTGCGTCTTTCAGACGATCAGAGCTATAAAAGTTTAGAAGGTGGATCAAATGAGCATACACAAATAGCCCTACTTTAGCCAATGCATTACAAACTTGTAATGCAAAGCCTACAAACTTGTAATGCAAAGCCAGCTCCTAACAAATGATCCACTATACAGACATTACTGCTCCCATATCTCAAGAGCAACATTAGCGGTATGAGCGTTTTACTCGATTTTGTTCTCCTCTGTCGAGTTCAAGTAAATAGACTGCTTGAATAAAGCATGCCATTATTGTTCTCTTGTAGTTGGGATCCTTCCTATATCTACAAAAAATCAATCAAAAGGTTAAAAATTGTTAAGACTAATTATTTAGCATTTCATGCTAAACAAAACAAAAACAAAAGTATTCATTGTTCTCTCACATTACATGATTAGCTTCAGACACCATATAAGGTTAATTTAGCATAATCCTTTGCAAAGTTTAGCTTGTTTATGGGTTTCTAAATGGTTCTTAATCAAGGAAGAATTGAAATGCAATCATTAGAGCAAGAAAATGAGAAGACATCATAAGGCTAAGTTGCTCATGACGTTAGAAGACAAAATATAACATTATCCAATTTAAAAACATATGGATTCTCCAATTTTAAATATGTATATATAAATTTCTTCTAAAAACTACATGAAATGTCGGAGATTAAACATAAAAGGAAAACATATCTGTAACTAAGACAAATGACTAAAAAAGCAGATCAACTTGACCAAAAATTCAATTTTGTTGATCCCTTCATATCCAAACCTTCAGATCCAGAGAATAAAATCAGGGTTTTAGCTGCAATGTTCGTTCTCAAAATTCAAGTTGATGGCTCACAAATTTGAGATTCAAACACACTTATAAATTTGTAAAATCAATGAAGAAACTAATCTCATTAGGAAAAAATAACAGAGCACTTACCAACTGGAGTTGATGAGGTCTCTCCAATTAGGAGAGACTACATTTCTCAGTCTCGAAACGCAAGGATGATGAGCTCCTTCACCACCACCGTTTTTGGAGTCATCAGAGAAGAAGCCACGAAATCCACCATCAATGTCACAAATTCAGTAATAGCTTCTTCCGACCCACACGATTTGCCATTAAAACAATAAAAAAACTTTCACTGTTTAGGAGTCTTAAACGTAACAACGACGATATCTTTCTTCTTCTTTCCTGAATCAGAGAAGAGGGGCTGCAAAATTTAGTAATCACCATATCAGTGACTCGAACCAGAGATACTATCAAATCGAGCCATATTATTCTCTCTAAAAGCTTACCTTGTATTCCCATGGCTTTAAGGGCTTGACTCATGTGCTTCTTGGTTAATGTAGCTAGCTGGAGTTGTTGCTGCTGAGATCACTGGAGCCCCTGAGATTCCATTCCATCCTGGTAGGCTGGTGAGTCAAATATTCAACTTCTCAATTGCCCTGCTACCAATTATTTGCTTCTATCTCTCCGTTTTCCAGTTTCTTCGTGTTGAAATCACTGATGATGGTCTGATACAGACACCACCATACTGTTCTTTTACTTTCAGGGTCGGTGCCACAAGGAGCGCTCTGCAGGATTCGAGGGAGCATGGACACAAAACCCTCTCATTTTTAACAACTCCTATCCCAAGATCAGTTTCTTTGATTCTGTTTCCTCGTGCTTGAATTGGACTGGAGCTGAATCAAAAGCTCTTGAATCTTTTTACTATTCGGGGAGATCACATTCTACTTTTATTTGTCTTCTCATCTTCCTCTTTCTGCAAGTAATCTTTTCTTGAAAGGAAAATGATCTTTGTAGTTTGAGACGGTTTGGTTTGAACCAGATAATGTGCTATAGACTTATACCCAAGTGCAGCTATCTGGAAACAATCCTAGAAACTTTATTCATAATCAATTAAAACATCGCTAGACAAACCTGTAAAGACCGGCTTTAACGTTGATGAAGAACCAATGACGATTGTTGATTGGATCAGAATCAATAGCTTTTTGTATTGTCGTGAAATTTCAATGGCTCGATTGATCCACAAACACATGTTGGTATACTCCGAATGGTTTACCTTCAATGAGATGAGGTAAACAAAAACAACAAAGAGCGATGAGACCTATGAAAATTCGATGAGCTCCCATTATTACAGCTTCTGATTTTGTTAGATGGTAACGAAACGTAAGAGTTTTAAGAGATAAAACAACACATCCTTATATAAATAAGGCCAGTTAAAACCCATCATTTATGATTCCGGCACAAACAAAATTGCAAATTCAGCGACAAAATAGGACAAATCCAGTTTGGATTCTCCAGAGCTCTAAGCACATGTTCACCATATTTGTTCATAACCAACATTAAAACACACTAACCACCATTAACAGAAATTCTCAATTGCTATCAAGTGCCACCCACGTCATGAACAAACAAATTAATCACCACAAGACAAAACTATCCTTACCATGTTGCATTCACTGCACTGTATACGCTGTCCCATCGTTTGCTGCATGCAGAGAACGATGATCCAACTCCCAAAAGAGAAGCAAATCATTATTGCCTTGTATGAGATCAAACTCCATAAGTTCCACCTGCATCTTAGTTGAAATTTAGATATTGCAATGATTTTATCAAAGTAATATCGATTCCATAAACAATAGATTAGGATTGATTAAATAGCGTACCTTGACCATCACATGTGAAGTCACAAACCGACACGGAGTTGGTGTCACCAGTGACGATACCTCTTCCATGGATTGCTAAGGGTCAAGGAAACCTAATTGAAAGAGAGGAAGTTAATCGATATAAAACGAAAAACATTAGGGTTTCTTTATGTTTGTCCACCGAGAAGATTTTAATATATGCCGATTTTTAAACAATTGACTTGTCCCATCTACGAAGCACCTCATCAAACACGTTACTACTTGGAATCCAAAATAAAATAAAATGAAATATAAAAACATAAAAAGCAGAGATCAAAACATGACCATGACTACTAATAATAGTACGGACAAAAAATTATCTCCTCATTCATTGAATTTCTGTATTTCCATCACCCATACGTACGTGGTGGATTTCTTCTCACACACATCACGAACTAACATGATTCTGGATCGAAACTCCCATGCCCAGTAAACCTAAAACAAATACCAAACAATATTGGTTACAAAATCATTAATCACAAAATCATTAGCAAGCGTGAGCTATAGTACAAAAACTAAAAATCTAGGGTAACGAATGTGAATGCTAATGTTATGACCGAGACTCTATATTTCTAGTTGAAAATCTAGGGTTTACCGTCATAATTACCTTATCAAACTTTTTTCTGTTTTCTTCATCAAACACAATCGATGAACCTGAAACACAAATCAAGAGTAAATCAGTAAAATAATATAAATATGAAATTATAAAACACAAGCACACTTCATCATAAACAAAACAAACAGAAATTCGTAGAAAACAAAAATAATAACCATACAAAAAGAAATCGATTCATGAAAAGAATTGGAGCAATAGAAAAAAACATAATATCAAAACTATCTATCAAGCCTAAATAAACTGATTAGTAATTGTGTGCCCGAGACTCTATATTTATAGCATCAAACTTAGGGCAAATTTCTGGTATTATCTTAAGAAATTTAACTTTTTTAATTGGAAAATTTCTGATTACGAATATTCACTTTGTTATATGGAATTATCTTCAAGATTTAAAGATTTTAAAAAGCTAAAATTCCATATTCTCTGAAATACGACAGATTTGGACCATCATACCCTCAACAATTATACTACAAAAAAATCGAATTAGCATTTTATGAGTAATTCATTAAGGGTGATTAAGACTAATCATCACAAAACACGATTAGACTTATATACCCTTAACAATTACGAACAAAAAATTTCGAATTAAGGGTGATTAGGACATTATTATAGAGATCAACACACGATTAGACTTATATACCCCTAATTACGAAGAAGGAGAAATTTCGAGAAGAACAATTCATTAAGGGTGTTTAGGACAAATCATTCTAACTTTTAACCACAGGCCTCCAATGCCCTAACTTTCAATATGGTGCGTTTCTACTTCTCAAATAATTATTGTAGAGAAGATAAGGAGTTTTTTAGTGGTGTCTAGTCTACGACCTTGGACCGACCATGGTCTACGTATGAAATATAGTTTTATTATTTTCCGAAAATTCAAAAATGTCAATGATTTGTGTCCATAGCTCGATGTAGATCATAAAGTAGGTTAGGGCATGTGTCACTGAAACATAATTTTTTTCGACATAATTAATCCTTTTTAGTTTCATTCACTCTTCTTTTTTCTTTTCACATGAAAAGCCACAAATGAACCCCAAAAAAAGAAGAAACAAAAAAGTTAACCTTTTTCCTCTTTAATCAATGAATCAATCAAGTGTTTAGTACTGTAAATCACGATGTAAATAAGTTCTTACAACTTTATTACTAAAAACATAATTAGTACTATATTAACTCTATCGAAATTGTAGTTTACTAAAAATGTGCTGAATATGAATTGCTCAATACATTCAAGATTTGTAAGCGTATAGTGCAAATTATGTTAGTGGTTTTTTTTGCTAGAACTCACACATCAAAATATTCTGTAGAGTAAATTCAGATTTGACAATGTTGTCACAAAAGTGGAAACCAATAAATTACATGATTCTTCTGATCCATAAAAATTAGTACAATGATGAAGACTCGATGAATAGTCAAATAAATAATAATGAAAACAATAACTCCTAGGGAAAATACATATAGTGCATGCACTACTATGAAACGAATTCAAACATGTCTTCTCACTATCTCGAGAAACGTACAAAATTATAAGCTTATTTATACAATCTCCTCTTTCTGCTGCAAGCTTTTCAGTTTTCACACAACTGTGACAAAAGTATTTTTAATTTTTGGCCCACCTTTCTTTATGATACCAAAATATAAACATTTCCTCCAATATTTCGACGGTAATATGCAAAAATGAAAATAACAAATTTACAGTCAATAATAATGAAAAAAAGGACAGACTGCTCTGAGTCTGTGAGCTTCTGTGTAAATAAATAATAACAAAAAAAAAAGACAGAAAATGCCAAAGACAGAAGAGTTTTTTTTTTTCTTTGCTTTTTTCATTAGCGGTAGGGTTCACTTTTTATTTTTGTTTTTAAGTTTTGAGAATTTATAAGTTTCAAATATCACACAAAGAGAGAAAGATAATAAGAGTTTCTTCTCTCATCCACAACCTCTCTCTCTCTCTCTCCCTCCTTCTTCTAGCTAGGTATTTTGTATTTTCTTCCTTCTGGTTTGTCATTAATTCATATCCTCTCTTGTTATTCATGTTGTATAGTAGTTCTTGTTTATGTTATTATTATTTTTTTAAATTCTTTTGGATTCTTGTTGGTAAAAAGCAAGCTTTTTAAAGCTTCTTGTTCATGTTTTGAAATGAACAAGAACCCAAAAATCTCGTTTTTATGTTCAGGTTTTTAAACACAGTCTCTTGACTCTTTTGAATTAAGAGACTTATTATTATTTTTTGTTCTTCCCATAAGAAAAACCAAAGATTGTCTCTTGCGTTGAAACCAAACAAGTAATTTTTATATTTATCTGTTTATATAAGAATCATGGGTTTCATTAATTTCTTGGATGTTTCTGCTTAAGGTTTTTTTTTTTTCCTCCACTACTCTTTGTCTGTACATAGATCTGAAAAAAGTTTTGTCTCTTTTTTTTATATATATTTTAGTCTTATATAAGTTTTTTTTTTGTTTTTAAGGGTCATGATGATGAACAGAGACATGTTATTTCATCATCAACAACAACAACAACAAGTGGAAGAGAACATGTCGAATCTAACATCAGCTTCAGGAGATCAAGCAAGTGTGTCTTCTGGAAACAGAACTGAAACTAGTGGCTCTAACATTAATCAGCGACAAGAACAGTGTTTTGTTCCACAATCATCTCTAAAGAGGAAGAGAAATCAACCAGGAAATCCAGGTAATTATTAGTTCTGATAGCCTTGATGATGAAGAAGAAGAAAAATCAACTTTTTCTTGGTTTTTTTTTGGACGTATTCATACTAATTATTTGATATTACTATCATCGATAATTGTTTTTTTAGAATTATGGGTACTCTCCGAATATTCTTTTTTACCCTTTTAACTTTGTCTTCTTTCTCACCTCCATTATTACATTGGGCAAAAACCAAATAAAAATCCAAACTTTATTAGTTTTTCTTTGGAACTTGTTACTATCTGATTTAAGTTTTTTGGACTTTATTCGGTGTTTTTTCAGACCCAGAAGCAGAAGTGATGGCTTTATCACCAAAAACACTAATGGCGACAAACAGATTCATATGTGAGGTCTGCAATAAAGGTTTTCAAAGAGACCAAAACTTGCAACTTCACAAGAGAGGACACAATTTACCATGGAAGCTTAAGCAAAGATCAACCAAAGATGTGATTAGGAAGAAAGTTTATGTCTGTCCAGAGCCAGGCTGTGTCCATCACCATCCATCAAGAGCTCTCGGTGACTTAACCGGAATCAAGAAGCATTTCTTCAGAAAACATGGCGAGAAGAAATGGAAATGTGAAAAGTGTTCCAAGAAATATGCAGTGCAATCAGATTGGAAGGCTCATGCTAAGACTTGTGGCACTAAAGAATACAGATGCGACTGTGGAACTCTCTTTTCTAGGTAACACTCTTAATTTTAATTTGATTTAAACATGTTCTTGATGAAACTTTGTGCATTCGTACTTAAATCTAAGGTTATTACTATTTACTAGGATGTAGACAAGAGTGAATGATGCATGATGAAACTTTAGAAATGTGGTGTAATGTGAAAACTAGTGACACATAATATATGGTACACCATCTGTTGGGGTTTATGACTAGTATCATTAAATTTTGAATAGGACAAACATTGTAATTAATTTAAGTAGCTCAAAGAATCTACATTTAAACAACTATTTATTATTGTGGTACTTCTTTCTAAGTTGTTGTATTTTTTTTATTTCTTGAGTCCTAATATCGAAATCCTTTATACGGCTATATATACATTTATTGCATATTGGTCTATCATCTTATTATTCACACGTGACACACCCCACAAATAATGCATATGCTTTACATGGACCTACAATAACCTCAAAAAAGTCATTGTTTTTTTTGATTAATTTTTGATATATTTGTGGAATTATTGCAGGAGGGATAGTTTCATAACTCATAGAGCATTTTGCGATGCATTAGCAGAAGAGAGTGCAAGAGCCATACCAAACCCTATTATGATCCAAGCTTCGAATTCTCCTCATCATCTTCATCATCAGCAAACACAACAAAACATCAGTTTCTCAGCTTCTTCATCCCAAAACATCACCAGCAACAGCAATCTCCATGGTCCTATGAAGCAAGAAGAATCACATCATCACTTCCAAAACATCCCTCCTTGGCTTGTCTCATCAAACCCTAACCCTAATGGCAATAATGGTAATTTGTTCCCTCCTCTTGCTTCTTCTGCAAACACTGGGCGGTCCAGCTTTCACCAGCCATCGCCGGCTATGTCAGCCACAGCTTTGCTCCAGAAAGCAGCTCAGATGGGTTCCACGAAGTCAACAACTCCAGAGGAAGAAGAGAGGTCGTCAAGGTCAAGCTATAATAACTTGATCACGACTACAATGGCTGCGATGATGACCTCACCACCTGAACCTGGCTTTGGTTTTCAAGACTATTACATGATGAATCATCAACATCACGGCGGAGGAGAAGCTTTCAACGGCGCTTTTGTCCCTGGAGAAGACAAGAACGACGTCGTGGACGACGGTGGAGGAGAGACGAGAGATTTCTTGGGGCTAAGGTCGTTAATGTCGCATAACGAGATTCTAAGTTTCGCTAATAATCTTGGAAACTGTCTCAACACTTCGGCTTCAGAGCAAGAACAGCAACATAGCCACCAAGATTGAAATATTATTATATATGTATAGAGACTTTTTCTATAAAATTAGTTTGAAAAATATGTTGAAGGAGCATTATCAAGGTACAAGCAAGTTTATACCAAAAAAAAGAAATTAATTTACAATTTTGTATTATGATTCGTCTATTAATTAATAATCGTGTTTATGATTTTTACATTTTTGTCACACGCATGCAAAACATATACTAGAGAGCTCCTTACGTAATACGTGTATATATACCAAAGATCAAGTGATTAAAACATGTGTTAGAAACTCAACTTTGTTAAAGAGACACGTCTAGCTAGAAAAAATTAGTTTTTTTTTGGTCTGTAGAAAAGATTAGTCAATCACCCGCCTTGTTCAAAAAATTGCTAGGCATTAGTCGGATATTTTGGTATAGGTCTAACGATTAATCGGAAATCTGATTTAAATTAGGGATTAATCGGAAACTAGTTTAAGGATTATTTTAATATTTTAAAACATATTAATCCAATATTGTTTTCAAAATTATAGTAAACAAGTAAAAATATATTTGTAAGAGGAAGTTTTATGATTTTTTAAAAAAATTTGGAACATGTGTAAAATATCACAAACCTTCAATCTAAATGTCTAAATAACAAAAAAAAATTATTTTATACTTAAAATCTAAAAATAATCAAGATATGCAAGATTAGATGGAGAGTAATCGGATTAGGCGATATGCATCTTTTATTTTATCGCCACGTTTGTATACTTATTTTTGTACCGTCTCTTTCAGTTAACATTTTTTATTTTCATTTATCATTTTACAAAATTTATTAACTTTGGTTAATAATTTTTAAAGTAAGTTTTAACCAAACAAAAATCTTAAAGTAAGTCTAGAATTTACATTTGATTATTGTTAAATTTCATATATATTTAGTTCAAAATTAATGGACGATAAATGAATTGTTTATATTTCTTATTTACTATTTTTGTATATATATATTTGATCGATGTAATTTCAAACAATCATTATAGATCACATTCTATCAGTTTTATAAAGTAGTGAATAAACAACAAACATCCACAATTTGTTTGTGAGTTCATGTGCTTTGTTTGACAAGAGTAATTACACACGTCAGCATCCGTGAGAGCCACGTGTGTGGTAGTATGAGTTTGGTTTACGAAATTTTCTCCAAAATACTCTGTTTATTTAATATTTGTCCGAAAACCACCTGAATTTTTTCTTTGTAAAAAAAATACACAAACTAATTTTGATTGAAAATAAAAAACACGATCTAGTTTTGTTTTCAATTTATTTCTTTCGTTGTAACGGCCGTTAACAACTTTAACTAAATCTTCAAACGGTGTTAAATTAATGGCAAATCTATGTACTGCCGCCTTTGTGGAAGAATCTTGTTGCAAATACAAGGACGTTGAACAATGTTGGGATGAAAGATTGACAGGTGATGGTGAATTTGTGTTTTCTCCGGCCGTTCTACGTGATCCTTTTTACATTTTCTATTACAATGTGGAGAAGAATACTATAGTAAGAGTTATAATCCAGGGAATTGGACCTGTTAGTGGTCAAGGAATATACACTTTCATAGACCACGTAGAAGATTTGAAGCTGATGTGATTAGGATATTCATAAGAATACAAGAGCGCTAAATAGTTTGGCTTCTTGTTTCCATTGCCCAATTTCTTGACAAATAGTGTCAGTTCCCGTCAATGCTTCTTCTGTTGTTCTTTGTGTCTCACAAAGCTCTTCTTGAGTACTTCTATCTTTTGTTCCATTGTTTTATTTTATTTTTCTGCAAATTTTTCTCTTAAATTAAATTGTATTCTTGATGAATCAACTTTATCTTTGAGAACACCTTGGATTTGTATTGGTTATCTATTTTTTCTTCAATTGTTTGGATTTTCTCTTCACATCTTAATCTCATTTTCTTTACTCTTCATGTATGTATATTCACATGTTAAAACGGATTGTTACTTATCAAAAAAAAAAAAAATTCATCTTGCTTCCTTTACAAGTTACAGTCCACTACCGTCGTAGCTTTTGCCGATGACAATCATTAGTTCCCGAACAGAGAAACTTCCACCAGCCCATCTCAACAAACACCACATGAAACCCAAAGTCCAACTTTAACAAATAAACCAGCCCAGTTAAACCCATTGCTACTATACAATATATTGACCATATTCAGAAATATGTAACACTCTGATATGAGAGGAATTTTCGTGGATTAGTTCGAGTTACGAAGCCCCACAAGCAGCACATTTCGAGGCTTAGAATATATGCACCACTTATATTTACATACGACACTAAAAACCTCTGGTGTTGAATGAAACAGAGTGTAATGTTAAAAGAAATAACACAAAACACCAAGCTGATTGATCTAAAAGAATGTGTGGGTATGATCCATGACTTGTATCTAAGCAGAAACATGAGGAGCTTTATAAGATGTAAGAGAGAAATACAAGCAGCACAAGGTAAACTAACTATGAACAATGTTCTTGAGGTTCCCATGTTTCTCTTGCTCTCTCAGTTTGGTTAAAACCAGTTCAAGTGTGTGGCCAGATATATGCAGAGAAGCTAACTTTGGTCATCGGCAAAGAAAACATAACATATAATTAAAGATTGTCCAAACAACATCTTAACATATAACATATGAATAGCCATCAGATTGTTTGCTACTTAGGACCCAAAAAAAAGATGCATTTGATACTAATTAGCCGTTACAACAAAACCCAAAAGAACATAAACCAGAAAGTCATAAGGTTCAAACAGAAAAACAAAACAAAAGCCAAATGCATATCTAAATAGATAAAGTCTAATCAGAATTAGCCATCACAGAGCTAACCTCATGCAAAACGTCAAGCTTTTGCAACACCAATTTGAACTCACTAGCTTGCACGGACTTAACCTTTTCTTCTATCATCTTCCTCGTCCTTACCGGTACCAAATACCATTTCTCTTTCAAAGTCTCTTCATCAACCCCCGCACCCAAATTCTTAAACGCACCAACAATAAACGACCTCTCGAACCAATCACATTCTACATTCACAACATCAACCTTCAAAGAGTCATCAACCTTAATCTTCTTCGTTGACTTCACAAGAGTAGCATCAACATCACTTCCCCAAATCATATTAGCCAATTCGAAACATTTCTTATCATGATCTTTGGTAAAGTTACCACTTTTCTTTTTCACCACATACTTATTCTTCAAAGACCAGATTTTTTTAACGAACTGATTCACACCCTTCACGTCAAAACTAATTGAATCCTTAAGCTTCTCGAAAAACCCGTTCATGTCATCCGAAACACTCTTACCTGTATCGCTGCTGAAGTCGATCATTCCTTGAAGTAACACGATCTCATCTTCTTCACTCCACAATCTCTGAAACGGTGGCTTCTTCGCCGTCTCTGTTTCAGTCTCCGTCTTAGCTCGTTTCACATCCGTTGATGGTTCTCCTTCACTTTGTCTCTTCTTATTCGGAGAAGAGACAACAACAGCATCAGGAGTCGGCGTTTTGGTCGTTGGCTCTGTTTCAGAGTCAGAAACACTCTCAGTCTCCGACTCGAGCTTTGAATCTGAATTTTCATTGGTGACAACAGAAGCCGAAGCAGTTTTCTTACCGAAATCTTTGGATGATTCGTCTTCCTCCTCAGATGAAGAATCTGATTCTTCTTCTTCGTCACTAGAAGATTCCGGCGGTGGATTTTTAACCGGTTCTGGTTGCACCTTCTTCGCCGTTGTTGATGTTTCCTTCAACGGCTTCTTCGAAGTCGATGCGACGACTTCCAACGGCTTCTTCGCCAGAGATGCGGCTTCCGACGGCTTCTTCACCGGAGATGTGACTCCCGACTGCTTTTTCACCGGAGATGTGACTCCCAACGGTTTCTTCGAAGTTGATGCGACTTCCGGGGATTTCTTCGCCGCAGATGGAGTAACCAAAGTCTGAGATTGCTTCTTCTTCGCCATTGGAATTTTGGAAATGAGACGGACAAGCTTTTAGGATTCTAGGATTTATTATGGACACTTGGATGGTAAAATCTGTCCATTTAAATAATTATTTGAGAAACTAGAACAAAAAGAAAAATGATAAAAGTTAATAATGGTAAATTTGTGATTGGCTTAATCACTCGGTGGAATTAACGCAGAGAGTAGTCTTTTCAAATCTTCAATTGTCTTTTCGAATCTCCCCATGTTTTTCTTGATTATGCTATGCAATTAATGTAACTTAATTAATTGAACCTTTTTTTAGCCGTTAAAAACTATCAAAGTTAATTAACTTTTTTGAAAATATTGAGTAAAAATGTAAATTGAGTTAATCAATAGTCTCTTTGATCTCATATTTCCATCTTCTTCTTAATTTATGGATTATATTTGAGGGGTTTCCCAAAATCTCAATTAACTAGTACTTCCTCCGTTTTCGAATAGTTGTCGTTTTAAAGAAATTTTTTTGTTTTTAATTAGTTGTCGTTTTCAGTTTTCGATGCAAAATTTATTACTTTTTTATTTTTTATATTTATTTTTATTATGCAACTTGATTTACTATTGGTTAAATTATGTTTAGGTAGATAGTTAATGATATTTTTATATTGAAAAACTAACAACATTAATAGTTTCTTAATTTGTGTGCATATAGTTAAAACGACAATTATTCGAAAACGGAGGGAGTAATGAATATGGTTGATGCAATCATTTCCTATAAAAATATACTATTTGTTAAAATAAAATAAAATTATCTATATATATATCAAGTATTTAATTAATGTTATAAAATATAAACTATAGAAAGTTATAATGTTATAAACTTGGTGTGAAGAGAGTTATAAAGATGAAGAACATGGTTATATTACATTAAAGTTTATTAATTTCTTAACTTCATCCATGCAAATTTTAAAATAAAACTACAAAGTAAGATAAAATGATTAAAATAATTTTATAAGAATTAGGGACAATTAAAAAGTTGAAGTCGATCAAAAGCTTTGCGCTTGAACTTGAAGAGAAATCGACTCGGACCATAATTTTTTTTTTGATGATAACAAAAAACCGTTATAATGAAAGAAAAAAGAGATGGTAAAGACAAGAGACCAAAAAAAGCGACGGCCGACATTATTAAATGTCACGACAACGTCAACGTTATAAAACACAGTTTGACGCCAACCGCCGCCAAGCAAATTTTATTTTTGGGAGCTCTCTCGCCACTTTTACTTTGAAAAACATATCAATTTATTTTTATTTTTTATTTTTCTCTCTTATACCACTATTTTTGTACTGCATTTTTGCATCTCTTAATTGATTGGTTACATTGAAGATGCTATATTTTCTACTGCCATACCACTAAACAAAGAAGAAATAATGTTGCAGTAAAATGTTGAGAGGTGGTAAGAAAGAATACAGATAAGAATTTCTTAAATTATGTATATACTAGCATTTTTGTAAAATTTACTATCTTTTTTTTGGGCAAAATGTACCATCTTTTTTAAGTTAACATCTTTTTTTTATATACTATATCCATCTCAGATTCTCTGATGTGAATTTTAACAATTATTTTTGTAAAGTTGTGAAGTACAAGTGTACAACAAACATCCAAAATTGTATTAACTGAGTTATGGAAAATAATTACTTTTAGGTTTAATTAGTTGAAATACCATAAATCTTAATAAAATTTGTAATTAAAGTTCATATATAATCAAATAGTCATCCAAAAACAATAATCATTTTCTTTAATAGTTTTAATACAATTATTATTTAGTTTTTTTGAAGTAGATAAAGTTACATTATTGTTTTTAGTTTATTGAAAAATTAATCTTTGGCACAACAACAAATATTGCCATGACCTCTAGGACTAGGTTGGCAGAAGCCAATGGTCTCCGGTGGAAAGTCAGGCGGTCCACATTGGCTCTTACAATTTCTATGGCTGTTACACGGACCTCTAAACACGCACTGTGAAGGATGAATAGCATTCTCCCTTACATCTATAATATACCATGATTAAACAAAAATTAAAACAAATTAGAAGATGAGAAATATGATTCTTGATTTTAGATGTGACTAGAAAAAGGATCTTATTACCTTTTGATTGGGAAGTAACTAGGACACAACATACGAGGAGGGTGACTATTAATCGAAGCTTTGACAATGCCATTTTGTTGGTATGATGTAAAATTAAATGATCAAAATTTTGTTTTATTTTTGGTGTGAACTGTGAAGAAAGTAAAGAGCAAGAACATGGCTATATCTAATTTTGAAAGTCATTTAAATATCAAAATTGTTTATTCTGTTCATGTGTAGTGTGATTTCTGTCTATATTAAGTGAGGTCAAATCTTTGTAAAAGTAGCAAAATATTTCCTATCAAAAGAAACTATATATGTAGTCAAATCTTCAAGTAGTATTGCCGAATCGATTATGTATGATATCAATTTTTTCTTGAAAAGGAAAATCAATACTTTTATAAGACCTGATCTCAAGCCGGTGTTAATATTATTATACCACAAATCTTTGGTTCTTATACCCAGTTTAAATATTAATTATTTATAGAATTAATTACGAATTTTGCCACTTTTCTTAGTGGTCTTTATAGATTTTGCCATTTTGTCTAAAATCTTATGTATTTGCTAATTTTTAGGATATAAAAGTGAGATTTAACATGTGTTTTACCGGTTATATTTGGTCTAGTCGGTTCTATTTGTTTTTAGGCTTTATATTTTTTTTTGGTAGGAGTTTTTAGGCTTTATATTTGTTATAAAGTATGTATTTTAGAAAAAAATCAGAAATATGTATATTTTTAAATATTAAAAAATGGCAAAACCGTAAAATCTTTAAAAAATGGAAAAAACCGTAAATACCACTAAAAATGACAAAATCCGTAATAATTCCTTGTTAATTTACAAACTTTTTTATACCCAAAGTTTTAAAAACAAGTTTAATATGGTACAAGAATAATAAAAAAAATAGGTCCTAATTTATATTTATATAATTTTTTTAACGATGGTCGATCACTCTATTTGTTCATGTTAAAATCGGTCTTGATTAGAAACAAACCACCGGATTTTGTAGATGATGAATATCTTCGGCATGTATGCGAACTTAACAAAGAGATTTATGGCTTGAATTAGGCTACAATGAATTTTGCTATTGACTAATTTCTTGTGGTTTTGTACTTATGTTGATACCCTTGCATGACCTTACTATTTATTTATTCATCAAACGGGTTGTTGAACTTTTAGGTATGATAATCAGTACTCCTTCCTCTTTCTATTAAGTGTCGTTTAGGGAAAGAAGGATTTCCCGCTTCATTCATGCTGATTTTAAAATAAAACTACAAAAAGAAAATAAAAATGACTAAAATAATTTTGTAAGAATTAGTGACAATTAAAAAGTTGAAGTTGATCAAAAGCACCGCGCTTGAACCCTAAGATAAATTGACTTGGACCATGCAATTGATTACTCTAAACGATTAATTTCTTCGTAAAAAGGAAGAAAAAAAAAATTGTAAAGACAAAAGATCAAAAGAGCGAAGACCGACATTATATAAATGTCACGAAGACGACGTCAACATTGTGAAAATACCATTTGACGCCAACGCCAAGCAAATCATATTTATACTAGCATTTTTGTAAAATTTACCATCTTTTTTTGGCAAAATGCACCATCTTTATAAGTAAATATGTTTTTTTTTTAATATACTATAGTATCTATCTCTATCTCAGATTCTCTGATGTGATATTTAATAATTATTTTTGTTAAGTAGTGAAGAACAACAAACATCCACTTTATATGGTTCAGTCATATATCAACTGAGTTATGGAAAATAATCACTTTTAGGTTTAGTTCCTTAAAACACCATCTAATTTAAGTTCATATATCAAATAATCATTTTCTTTAATATTTTGAATACAATTATTATTTAGTTATTTAGAAGTAGATAAAGTTACATTATTGTCCTTAATAGTTTATTGAAATTTATTCTTTGGCACAACAACAAATATTGCCATGACCTCTAGGACTAGCTTGGCATGAGTAAATGGTAAACGGTGGAAAGTCAGGCGGTCCACATTGAATCTTACAATCTCTTGGTCTTTTACACGCACCTCTAAAGACGCACGATGAAGGCTGAATATCATTCTCCCTTACATCTATAATATACAAAAAAAAATATGAGAAATATGATTCTTGATTTTAGATGTGACTAGAAAAAGGATCTTACTTTTTGATTGGGATGTAACTAGGACACAACATATGAGGAGGATGACTATTAATCGAAGCTTTGACAATGCCATTTTGTTGGTATCCTGTAAAATTCAATGATCAAATTTTTTGTATTATTTTTTGGTGTGAAGAAAGTAAAGAGAAAGAACATGGCTATATCTAAGTTTGAAAGTCACTTAAATATCGAAATTGTTTATTGTGTTCATTTGTTGTGTGATTTCTGTCTATATTAAGTGAGGTCAAATCTTCGTAAAAGTAGCAAAATATTTCCTATCAAAAGAAACCATATATATGGTCAAATCTTCAAGAATTATTGCCGAGTCGATTCTATATGATTTCGAATGTTTTCATAAAATGGAAAATCTGTTATGAAATGGGTGTAATTCTTAAGATGCAATTCTCATCCTTATGGTGTAATACTTGTTATTACATTTTCTCTACTTGTCATTACACATATACTACACTCTTTTACTTGGAATTTGAGTACTTTAAACCGTTAGCCCAATGCAATAATTCGGCTTGTTCTCTGTTTTGCTTTCCCTTACAATTGGCCTATGCAATAACTTGATGTCAATAACACGTCTTGAATTATTTTGCTACAAGTAATATGAAAATTAGTATCAAATGAAGACGTGCTTCTATTTATCGACAGTATCTTCCATTTCGTACTAGCAGGATTCGAGGTATCCACTTTATTGGGTATAATGCCTTCTGGTGTGGGTTGAAAGTTGAAACAAAGAGGGTTTAGCCGTTTAGGGATGGATGATGGTCATCAGAGACCCGCGCTTGGGTCTTCAGAGTTTGCTGCTATAACTCCAATTTCTCTGTTGGAGTTTGGTTCTTCTTCCGGGAAAGCAACTGAGTCGCCATTTAAGCCGTCAACAATCTCGTCAATCTTCTTAAACTGGTAAGGCCACTTGCTGTTGTACAGAAACTGCCTCAGATCGAATCTGTTGTCCTCTGGAGAGTAACTCTGCAACCAAAACCCCAATGAGTTTTTCTTTGATCTCTCTCACTCAAAACAGATTCAAATAAGCAAGTACCTCAGCGTGATAAGACGGTGTGAGGACAGTCATTTTGTGTCGATTGATCGAATAATATTTGAAGAAATACTTCACTTTCTCAGCTACTTCTGCTGGGCTTAGCTTTGTTCCCCACTTGTAACATAGATTCTGCAGAATCACAGACCAGTTTCAGTTTCAGTGCATCATGATTTAGTAATATTTGTGGCTAGCTTTCAGATAATCAAACCTTGAACATAGAAACTGGTCCACAGCGGAATATCTTCCTCATCCTTCCATAGACTGAAAGCTCTTCATATGTCATTCCCATGTCGACTTCATCTAGCTGTTTGCAAAACTCAAGATGTCTGAACTGACAACTTCGTTGACTTTAGAGATATAGACTCACAAGTATTTTTGTTATTACCTGAGAATAGTCAGAACGAATGGGCTCAAGCTCAGCTGTTGGTGGAGCAGCTTCTATCTCTGCCAAGGATGGATATCCGAGATTCGTTGCAGCCCATTTTAAGAACAACCTCAAATCCATTTTACTGATACTTCCTATGGGATTTATGTCTGCTGAGCTGCAATCATACTGTTTCAATGAAGAGAATGAAAAATATTTATTAACAATCGATGGGATTTGAGATGTAGCAGCAAAAAGAGATTACTCCATTACCTTTGTCAGGTAACCACGAAGTCCTTCATCGACGTTGGAGCTGCCTAGAACAAGGTAAAAGCCTGGTTTGCTATGAACCCAAGGCAAGAGAGACGCTAACATAAATGCTAAAACCATTCTCATCCGGGCTTGAATGTTCTGCAACCCAAGGTTCTCAGCGTTTGATCCTCCATCAACCTAAAACACAAAACCAACAACCATTTCCACAATCGTTTGTTCCAGATGATCATATTTCGTTTCTTCCAACTGTTTGTCTAGGTAATGTATACTTTACCTTATACCGAGGTCGCTTGCCTGTAACCGTTTGAAATAACGATAGAACCGCAGAGACAACACCATCTATGCAAACATCAAGATGCCAAGCACCGATCTCATCTGCCAGCTGCTTTGCACGCCTTTTTGTCTCCTCAGAACTGCAAATTTGAGAGTTCAATATGGGGGAAAAAGTTTTATGTTTGCTGCAAAATCACAAAGCTGTGATGAAAAATCATATTCTCTTTGCTCTTATTAACTAATTTACCTGTTTTCAGAACCCATAAAGACAGTGTAAAATATTCGTTTGGCAAACTCTTTGCTGTCAGTAGGAAACTGTCCATTAGCATAATTCCCAATTCGGTTTGCATCAGCTTTTACTTGCTCATCTCCCTTTGCAATCTCTAAACAAGAAAGAAGATATACTCTGAGAGAACTCAATATCATGGAATTTCAACAAGACAAAACACAGTTCAATCGTACATAGACAAAAGCGCCAGTGTACCTTTAACAACAAGTTGGCACATGCAGCCAACAATAGCTGCCACGGAGGAGCTGTCTGCTCCGCCAGAAAGAGGAAGCAGAAATCCTGAAGCACCACTTCTTCTCAAATAGTCCCACATCCAGCAAGCGGGACCAAAGGCTATTTCTTCTTGTGGAGAGTGGTAAATGATCTACATTACTTACGGTATTAGAATTGAAAATTTTGAATGGTTAACTTAAGATCAAATACTTGAGGATGGAGAACCTTCTTCGGACTGCTTAGTGTAATTTTCAGGTTAAAGGACTGTGTCAGCCTACATGGTACGGCTACTGAAGACACTTTAACCTTGCAGCTTGCTTGTTCCTGAAAGCTACTTATAGATCCACGAAGACTGGCAACCTTTCTCGAGACAAATAAGCAAGATGATCCTAAGAATTTTTCATTTATATATCACGAAACAGGAGAAAGTAAAGCCAAAGGGTAACTGTGGGAATACCGCATCAAGATCCACTTGGGAAATGATGACCTCAACGTCTCTCAATGAGAATTGTGAGCCTTGAGCGACAACATCCCCGTTTACAACAATGCATGCACATCCATCTGCACTTGGTTAAAAATGAACAAATCTCACTCAAAAAGTAGATAAGATTCAAAATGATAATTTTCAATCCTAAGGTTTTTCGAACATACCGTAATATAAGCGGCTACCATCGCATCCCTGTTGATTACTGTACATATACACCCCACCGCGAGCATGAGTAGCCCCCATGAAAGCATTCAGACGAATATCTAGTTTCCTAAGTTGGTGATGACTCCCACTTGCATTCATAAATACTTCAACCCCGTTCAATGCAAGCTCGGCATGAGGAGGAACTGGACTAAACAGTTCCTCACAGACTTCAGCTGCAACAGCCCTGATAAGGAAATTTGATTGATTCAGTTACGCAGACAAAATCATTGACACTGTTGAAATGGAAGAATTATATCCAAACTCACGTGTCGATAAACTGGATGTAACCATATCCAAATGGGACTGATTTCTGATCCAAAGCCTCTGACATTTCAATTGGGAGCTGAAATTCCTCTAGTTTTTCTCTCTGCTTCCAAGCCGTGAACCACCGTAGCTCCCTATAGTTTCCATCGTTTGCGAGCCACATTTTTGGTCGAATCATGATGATTCTTCTGTTCATACAGAGAACCTGACAATTATACCGCTCTGCTCCTTTAATCACAGGCATCCCTAAGCTGCATAATATTCCATCCGTCCAATCACCAAGCAGCAGTTCCTTCAAACACTCCCACCTGAAAAAACATATTTACATGAACATAAGGAAAATGGGTTAAACATGATTCCGAGAACTAAATTCAGAAAAAATAATAATAATTTCATCATCTAAAGTGATAGTACCAAGCCATTCATCATCGAAATAGAAACTAAAAATAGAAGCATACGCATGAGTGACTGTGTCGAGCTCCAAGAAGTGATCCTCGCAACCATAGCCAGTGACCTCGAGCTCAGGACCAAGCCTGATGACAGCACCAGCAGCCTTTGCCTCAACGATCGAAGCCTTGATATTCTTCATGTTGTTCTCGAATTCCATGGCCCATTGGTTCAAGTTACACGTAGCAACCTTCAACAGCCTCATCTTCGTCGCCGCCCAAAGAGAAAATCAAGTAGTATACTTTACATCAAGTAGTGTAAAAAACTAAACTTTACAGAGGAAAAACAAAACTGAACAAGAAAAACAGCAAAAGAAGCATTGTTGATTCACGATTAAAAGTTTCTCCATGAGAACAGAATCTGGTTAAATTAGTTAAAGGAACAAACTTTGTATTACTTTGCGTATACTAACGATTCAAATTCAATTTTAACAGCCACAACACACAATCTCTGTATATTACAAGTTCTTCAAACGATCAGAGTTGCAATAAACTTTTACTAGTAACAGTTTAAGACAAAGAGCGTCAATTCAATAACGAAGAACTCGTCAACGCAACATCATTCCATGTGAATCAATTTCCAAAAGAAAGAGAAGGAAAAATTGGAGCTTACGTGAATGTGAGAAGAACCCAGAAGAATCAAAGTCGTGAAACTCAGAGATCGTGAAAATTGAAAAGCTATGAGATTCAAAACTCACAGAGTCCAAGTGATTGTGCTCGTGCAGATGAAATTCGGGCAGAACAGATTCTGACCGACCAAGAAGAACATTCGGTTTGAGAGGAACAATAAGAGATTGAACTTGAAACGACTTCGTTTTACGATTACAAAACCTTAACTAAACGACATCGTTTAAGTTCCCCCTTATGTCTCGTCTTCTTCCTTTTAATATACGACGGACGAGAAGGCGAATTAGTGAGATCGGAGGAGAAAAAATGGATCAATTCTCAGGAGGAGGAGGTAATTGGTCGATGATCCCAAACGTGCAGGCGCAGGGTAACTTCGGTACACCGACCAATCATGACCAGCAACTATTCCTCCAGCAACAACAATTACAACAACAACAACAACAACAGTTTCATCTTCAACAACAACAACAACAACAGACGCAGCAGCAACAACAACAATTCCAGCCACAACAACAAGAGATGCAACAATTTCAGCAATTCCAACAACAGCAACATTTCATTCAACAACAGCAATTCCAACAACAACAACAACGGTTGTTACAATCTCCTCCTCTTCAGCCACAGTCGTTGCAATCACCTCCGCCGCAACAGACGGTGGTTCATACGCCTCAATCTATGATGCATACACCGCAGCTACAACAACAGTTGGTTCAAACTCCGGTGCAGACTCCGCAACAGCATCAGTCTTTAGCTTCTCATTTCCATCTCTATCCGGTAATAAACAAAGAAATTGATGAAATTGGAATCGTTGGGGGTCTAATTTCTCGTTATTGACGCAGATGGTGGAGAAATTAGCCGATGTGATCGAAAATGGAACACGAGATCAGAATTCTGATGCACTGGTTTGTTACAAAATCAAGTCTTTTAGTGGTTTTGAGATTTCTAGGGTTCTTCTTGGATGATGTTGAAATTGTGAATTGTTACAGGTGACTGAATTGAATAGCCATTTCGACAAGTGTCAACAGTTGTTGAATTCGATTTCAGGATCACTAGGATCTAAAACTATGGTATGATTATTATTAACATTTTGGGATCTCTTGTATTGGTTCTGTTTCATCTTCTGCTTATGGATCTCTTTCTTTGTGTTTTATAGACTGTTGATGGCCAAAAGAGAAATGTTGAAGAAAGTGAGCAATTGCTTCAACAAAGAAGGTTAGCTAGATTGTTAGTATCATGTTTTATCTGATGAGATTGATCTTGCTCTTACTTTTTGTGCGGTTAAATTCTTTTGGTCAGGGATTTAATTGTGGAGTATAGGAAATCTATTGAAGAGATTGTGAAGATCGAGCCTTAGTTCCCATGTTTTGATTCAGCAATTGTTTAGCTACTTGGGACCAATAATTGTTATCAATAAACCAATCTTGATTCACATAATAAGGAGAATGTGGTTTTCTTCAAGAAAATTCGTTTTCATCAGATCACAATGCATCATGTGTTTTGTCTGCATCAAACCAAACCGCCGTTTTTGGGTTTTGCTCTAGTCATTTCCGTGTTGTTGGAAATGGTTTCTGTTGAAGGTAGTAAGCTTGATGAAGACGCCCTTGTAACCTTGAATTGAGCTTGAGGGTTACTATTCTCGGATGGAGCTTATCCCTCTTCCGCAAGTTTTCTGGGCAGATTCATCACGGTGGTAAGAAACTTGGATGATAACGATATAAGCCTAGGTAGTTGTTGAACATAGTCAGTGATTTTGTGATTTAGATTGAGAACAGAGTAGAAAAAGCATTGTAACCATTGAAAATTCAACCATTCTTAGTTAGTTAGATCCCACAATGATCCTCAAATTATAAAACAAAACACCATTGAAGCCATATCTCATTAGTCTTTTTTAAAATAAAAACACTGACTTGTGTCCCAACTGACTATTTTGAAATAGTCTTAAACAGGTAAAAAATCCAATAAAACAACACTCACATAAGCTTCATATCCTCTAGATAGTTTGGAAAAACACGATACAAAGGCCGTTCAAAACCTTGAGATTCTGGAACTTCAACTCTTACCCTTACCACAATGTTCTTCTCGCACCTAATTTACCCTTATAGTTTATCAGAGTGGGAGGTTTCCAAGTAATGAAATCAAATTTCTCAGACCTAACGTCAAAGCAAACGATCATAGGTTGCATAGAGGTTGCTGCATAATACAAAACACCATTGATGCATATCCCCTTAAGATAACGGTGAGCATAATAATGTCTGCAACATTGGATCTTTCTCCAAAAAAGATTTCTCCTTCCAGTCTCGAATGTGAGAACCTGATGCTGATGAGTATCCAACTCCGCCCCTGTTCCATGATGCACCGAGGTTATACACAATACCTTGAACTGTTTGTTGATTGGATCATACCCCATCGCGAAATATTTTATTGTCTCATGTGCTTCTCTTGTCACTTTGGGTAAGGTTACATACTGCCCTGTGATGGGATTATAAATCACAAAAACTGTGTCATTTTTTATCTTATAACAGACCAGTCCGTGGACAGAGATAAGGGTTTGATAGCAATCTTTTGGGAACTCCGTATGAAGATGAGCAGTGGCTACAAGAGATGAATTCTCATCTGGATTTTCAGGCTGAGGTGAAGTGTAGAAAAACAACTTTCCTCCACCGGAGAAGATGAAAAGGAACCTCGGTGGATCGGGAGACTTGATCGGGAACAACTGGTTATAATTTGGTAGTCGAATTGTCGACGACCAGAGCTTACATACACAACGACACTTAGCCATAGACTTTGCAGACAATTTCGATAAGATTTTGATGACCAAATCTACAGGGATTCTAACAAAGTTTTCTCCTCCAGAGTTTGAACATCGTTTATTGGATCCGAATACGGTTAGGGTTAGGTTTTCCTCTGTGACCTGCTGCTTACGTTTTCTCATCGCCCTAGATTTTGGCTCTGTTTGGCGATTTCAGACTCTTCATCTTTTGATGACTTATTTATGATGCTTCAACCACGGTCCATAATCCATATGTTTAGGCTATTATGAAGGCCCACTAGATACTCTTAAGTTTAATTCTTCACTATATATGAATAGTGAATATACATTTGAATCCCCCTGTTAACACCAAAAAAGAGAGGTGAATGGAATTTAAAGATTGATTCTCCATCTATCTGCCTTTCTCTAGTCATCTTTCGTTTTGTTGGAAACGGTTTCTCTTGAAGATAAAGCTTGATGAAGACGATCAAACACTGCTGCTTACTCTGTTGGTTGTGTAACCTTGGATTGAGCTAGAGAGCTTTTCCTTATTAAAAGACAGTTTTTGAAAGAGGCTTGTTTCTTGTTCCCTACCAAGATCAAGACGATGTGAGACCTGACACTTATGTATTAACACCACCATACTTAGATAAAAATAAAGAAAAAACACTTACATGTTATATATCTGAGAGAGCAAATACAAAAAGAGCACTCTGCTTCTCGAATGCAGTAATCATCCTAACAGCTAAAAAATAAGGAAAAATATACACAAGTGATTGGGTTCTTTATAGACAAGAGAATTCAGAAGTCCAAAATTACTGTGATTGTAGTTGAGATTTAGATTATAGAAGAGATAAATAAGAAAGCACTTGAATTTATATTATTGAAAAGACTCTGAAGTTGAATCCATTTAAGACCCATATCAAAACTCAAAAGTTAAAACATAACAAGAAAAGAAAATGAAAACCAAAGCACTGCCATACTTCTTGTTCAGAAGTTTCCACCGCGAAGACGGAGAACAAGGTGAAGAGTTGACTCTTTCTGGATGTTGTAATCTGCTAAAGTGCGACCATCTTCAAGCTGCTTCCCGGCAAAGATGAGCCTCTGCTGGTCTGGTGGGATCCCTTCTTTGTCCTGAATCTTTGCCTTCACATTGTCAATGGTATCAGAGCTTTCCACTTCAAGCGTGATGGTCTTTCCCGTCAAAGTCTTGACAAATATCTGCATCCCACCACGAAGACGCAGCACAAGGTGAAGTGTTGACTCCTTTTGGATGTTGTAATCTGCAAGAGTGCGACCATCCTCAAGCTGCTTGCCTGCAAAGATAAGTCTCTGTTGGTCTGGTGGGATCCCTTCCTTGTCTTGTATCTTGGCCTTCACGTTATCGATTGTGTCCGAGCTCTCAACTTCCAAAGTTATAGTCTTTCCGGTGAGAGTCTTGACAAAAATCTGCATCCCACCACGGAGTCTCAGCACGAGATGGAGGGTCGACTCCTTCTGGATGTTGTAATCAGCAAGAGTCCGACCATCTTCGAGTTGCTTGCCTGCAAAGATGAGTCTCTGTTGGTCTGGTGGGATCCCTTCTTTGTCCTGAATCTTGGCCTTTACGTTATCGATTGTGTCTGAGCTCTCAACTTCCAAAGTTATGGTTTTTCCGGTAAGAGTCTTGACAAAAATCTGCATCCCACCACGAAGACGCAGCACAAGGTGAAGTGTTGACTCCTTTTGAATGTTGTAATCAGCAAGAGTGCGACCATCTTCGAGCTGCTTGCCTGCAAAGATGAGTCTCTGTTGGTCTGGTGGGATCCCTTCTTTGTCTTGTATCTTGGCCTTCACGTTATCGATTGTGTCTGAGCTCTCAACTTCCAAAGTTATGGTTTTGCCGGTAAGGGTCTTGACGAAAATCTGCATACCACCTCTCAGACGAAGCACGAGATGGAGAGTGGATTCTTTTTGGATGTTGTAATCTGCAAGTGTTCGACCATCCTCGAGCTGTTTACCAGCGAAGATTAGTCTCTGTTGATCCGGAGGGATTCCTTCCTTGTCTTGGATCTTAGCTTTAACATTGTCAATGGTGTCTGAACTCTCAACTTCTAGGGTAATGGTTTTACCGGTAAGCGTCTTGACGAATATCTGCATACCACCTCTCAACCTGAGAGCCAAGTGGAGTATTGACTCCTTTTGGATACTGTAATCAGCCAAAGTACGGCCATCATCTAGCAGTTTACCGGAAAAGATGAGCCTTTGCTGGTCTAGTGGAATCCCTTCTATGTCCTGGATCTTTGCCTTGACATTATTGATGGTGTCGGAGCTTTCAACATCAAGGGTTATGGTCTTTTCTGTTAGAGTCTTTGCGTAGATTTGCATCAACATCTTTAAAACGAAAGAAAAGTAAGTAACAAAAGATCAAACGCAAAAATTGAGAGAGGAAGAATTCAAGAAACTTTTGCAGCAAGATTAGGGTTTGCGAGAGATGAAGAATTGAATTATGAATTACAACTATGGTGAAAGGTTTTCTTATATAGAGACGAGAGAGGCTTACCGACTTTGATTATTAAAAGGAAAAGGTAATCTTTTCTTTTTCTTGTGCAATAGGAAAAGGTAAATCTAACTTATTATACATGGAAAATTGCTTATAGATGCTTTAAAATAAAATAAAAAGGAAAATTGCTAATAAGGAAGAGAGGAAACATCTATCGTTGACTTTGGAAGACCGACTAAGCCGGAAGGTTCTAGGCGGTGAAGAATCTTGGTTGATAACGAGATAAGCCCAAGTAGATATGTTGAACTTATTCAGTGATTTAGAATTTTAGATTGAGAAACAGAGTAAAAACAAATTGTAACAATGGAAATATAAACTTCAGCTCGTGAGAATGAGCATGGTCAAAACATGTTTAAACGTATGAGACTTACCTTTTAATGTCCTCCCTCATCACAGGGTTCTAAATTTTGCAAAGGTAAGAGAAGACATTTGTAAAAGTAAAACACAGTAAAAAGAAAAATCATATCTATTCAATAGCTCTTTTAGGGATTAAAAAGAAATCTGGTGTCATGCTTGTAAAAAGCAGTTTTAAGTTTGTAATGAGAAATGTGTCCCAACATTTTGAAATCCTTACATAGTCTTGAACAAATAAGATTGTATAATAAAACACTTAATTACATAAGCTTCACATCCACTACATAGTTTGGGAAGGTGTAAACTCTATACCCTTTAAGAAGTTCAAATCCAGGAATAACAACTTTTACTCTTACCATAGTTTTGCTCTCAAGATTGTAGTAAGAAACGTAGAAGGGATCTTCTTCTGCATATTTTGGGGACAAGACAATTTCCCCTGTACCAGTCACTCCAACAACGAATGCATGCACTGCATTCCATTGGAAGGGCGTTACCAAGATATGCTTTGACCATTTATGTTCCTCGGAATCCTCTAAAACCCACAACACGAAACCATCATCATAGTCTTGAGTATCAACTAAACCTAGTTTACCCTTGTAGTTTATCAGAGTTGAAGTTCGCTTCATTAAATAGAATTTCTCAGGTCTCCGGGTTATAAAATCGAATTTCTCAGACCTAACATTAAAGCAGACGATCATACTTTCGTTGTCGGATGCTGTGTAATACAAAACACCATTGATGCATATCCCATCATTTCGAGGAGAATAAGAAATGCAACATGGGATCTTTCTCCACCAGAGTTTTCCAGTATCTAATGTGAGAACTTGATGCTGAAGTGTTCCATAACACGACCAAGTTAAGCACAATACCTTGAATTTGTTACCAATTGGATCATACCCAAAATAGTTTTTTGACTCGATCCCGTCCGTTTTCACTTTGGGTGAGGTTACAGATTCTCCTGTGATGGGATTAGAAATCACAGCCACTATATGATTCTCTTCCATACGTTGATGACAAACCAGTCCACGTAAAGGGCGACAGACCTTAGAGACATCTGTGTTACGGGAAAATGTGTGATGAAGCGTGGCTGCAAGAGAAGAGTTGTTATCAGGTTTTTGAGGCTCATGTGCCGAGTAGAAGTAGAGCTTTTCTCCAGCTACGAAGGTGAAAAGGAGTCTCGGTGGATCCGGAGAGTTGATCGGGAACAACTGATTGTAATTTTGACGGCGGATGATCGAAGACCAGAGGTTACATACACAACGACACTGAGCCATAGACTTGCCGGAAAATAACCTCGACAAGATTTTAATGACCAGATCATCAGGGATCCGATCAAAGTATTCTCCTCCAGATCGCTTATTGGGTTCGGAGGATGATACGGTTAGGGTTAGGTTTTCCTCTGTGACTTTCTGCTTACGTTTTCTCATCCGTCTAGATTTTGAGGTTAGGTTTTCCATTGTGACCTCCTGCTTACGTTTTCTCATCGCCTTCTCTGCTTGGCGATTTCAGCATCTCCCATCTTATGATTTATTAAGTTGGGCTTTGTTACGGCGTAACTATTTTGGGCTTTGTTAAGGCCCAATAACTACTTTCAAGATAAAGACGCAACTAGATGAGTGGGAGGGAATCGATGCCGTGCCGACTAAAAAAATTAAAATAAGAATATTGGTCCGAATTAAAACTTGTTCGATTTTGTAGCTCTTCCTCTCGTAATCTCTCCTCTTCTTCTTCTTCTTTCAGACAGAAGCTTGCCTTTGTCCGAATTTAGGGTTTCCATTTTTCTTTACCTTCTTCCTTCAATCAAATAATCGAAACCCTAATCTCTTGATCAGGTGATAATTTCTCTCTCTTTTATGCTTGTCGTTTCTTCCCTAATCCTTGCTGAATTATTTGTTTCATGTTGCTGTGCTTGTTCGAAGAAGTTTTTATTTAGAGATTTATATATGTGATTTTATTCTCTGATCTGAATAAAGTTCTTTTGTTTTGTTTAAATATATATATTTTGGATTCGTTTCTTCCCAAAATGAAAGTGTTTGATTGTTTTTTTCTCCAGAAGAAATTGACTACAAAACTGTTATTTATTCCGTAGAAATTGAAATCGATTTTAGATCCAGAGAGATTATATTGTTGTTTTTGAATTTAATTTTGGAATCCTATAAATATGTTTACTTAATTGAGACTTTTGCATAAAATGGTTTCTTTAGTATTTGTTTATGAATCCATCAGATGCTATGAAGCTCGTTTGATTATCTTGATCAGATATTACTAGGATCACCAGTGTCACTTTTTACCTTATGTTACTTGAAATCATTTTTGGACTCATAATTTCGGTTTTTGTTCTCAGGCCTTGGTCGATTTGCTTTCCCTTGTATTAACTTAAGGTTCATGTCTGATCTTGAAGTTCAAGTCCCCACTGCCTTTGGTAAACTTTCATCTCTGAGATTGAAATTTGTTGAGAATATGATGATTATTAGATGATTCCACAGTGGTTACTGCATTCTTGTTTTTTTGAATGGAGTATCTCTTATGTTATATGATCTTCTTATGCTAATGAATATCCTGTTGTGATATAAAGATCCGTTTGCTGATGCAAATGCTGAGGACTCTGGGGCGGGAACAAAAGAATACGTGCACATTCGTGTTCAGCAGCGTAATGGTAGAAAAAGCTTGACAACTGTCCAGGGACTTAAGAAAGAGTATAGCTATAGCAAGATACTTAAAGACCTTAAGAAAGAATTCTGCTGCAATGGCACTGTTGTCCAGGACTCTGAATTAGGACAGGTGTGTTTTCCTTAAGACTTTATCAGATCTTCTATGGTATCAACAAGCTACCAAGACTTGGTAGAGAAACATTTTGGATTGCTTTTAGTAGCTAAATGACTTACTTATTGTTGTAGGTTATTCAGCTTCAAGGCGATCAGAGGAAGAACGTCTCTACGTTCCTTGTTCAGGTAATCATCATTTTTTCGATCTATCGGTTAGTGGTTTTGAAGTTGGCTTTGTAGTGAAAAGATGGAAACATTGTATGTATCCTGATCTTACAAATGTTTTGAATCAGGCTGGGCTTGTGAAGAAGGATAACATCAAAATCCATGGTTTTTGAGCAATTCTAGAGATACTCGTTGTTCAACTTGTATTTACCCAATCAGTCAGTCCCAAAGGAAGTAGTATAATACATCACTTAAATGTATTAATGCTTTTCTATTATATATTGTGTCAGAAAAAAAAAAAAATCGAATGGTTCGCTTATGAGCGTATATATAAATGTATCAACTTTTGGTTTGCATTTGTAGTGTGAGATTATCAATAAAATTTGCTTTGTGATTTGGATGATAATGATCTTTCATGACTAGCAATACAATGCGAGAACCGAGTGCTAAACCAGACACGAGAGGAGATTCACGGTCTGATGCATAAACCAAACCGGTTTGTGAACCATTTTGCAGATTTGCTCGTGTGCTCTTATCGGCGGCAAGAAATAATTGTTGATATAAGGAAAATCGCAGACACGTGATTAGGACTCATATAGTAGTATGCTAAGTCATTTATATTCCATAGTAATAATTCTTTTTATACAGAAATATAACCAAAAACAGAAATAATCACTTGAAAATGGTTAATTATCCTACATCCTTCATGTTGTGACAAGAATGAATTCTCTTATTATCAGCTGAAAATGGTTAATTATCCTACATCCTTAGTTGATTTTTATGGAGCCTCAAAAATAATGTTTTTTTTTCTCTTATGTTTAAGGTTGATCACAATGAACCTAAATGAAGTGAATTAGTCAATATATCATCATCCGGCGAATGATTTTAGCTTGGTAACTTTTGGCAACATTTACTATTTGGATGTAAATGATGTAAAATTACATCTAAATAATTTTGTCAACTAAAAGAAGAAAAACAATTAAGCTTGGTAACATTTTGAACAGAAGTAATTAAGGTGTAAATTAAAATCAAACGTTTTTTTCTTTGTTTCAAGAAAATTAGTAAAAGAAAAAAAATCAGAAATTTCGTAATTAAAAATAGGAAGCTGAAATAGAGAAAGAGGGTAAAAAGGTAAACGGAAATTGCTGCGTTGGTTTTGTGTTGCAGAGTCCGGAGAGACTGAAGGAAACAGAAAAAGAGAGAGAGAGAGAGAGATTACCTTACCATTATCCTTTGTCTTCCTTCTTCTTCTCCCTCCAATTTTTTTCCTTCTTCTGTTTCGATCTCTCTCTCTCTCTCGTTTAGCCACCCCACCAAGTTTTTTTTTGTTGTTGTTTTCGTTCGTTCCTCAGGATCGCTGAAACGCGTTTCTTCGTGTAGATCATGAAGGACCCTCCCAATTTCAGGTAATTCTCGCTCGCGGTGGAATTTTCTCCAATCTCTGTCTCCTTTAACCTCAATGACGTGAGGGATTCTCAATGTCTTGTGTTACAAGCTTTGGCTATTTCATGTCTGGATTCTATATAGATTTATCATCCTTTATCGAATTTGTGATAACCTAAATTCAGATTTTCTCTCCATTATACAGAAATCTGGATTATATTTTGGGATTTGTTGAGCTGATACGTTTTCTCTTTGAAACAGTTAACGGTGTTTGTTTTACGATTGAAGGTGAAGAAAAATGGCTCGTCGTAGAATAAGATCAAGGATTCGTAAAAGCCATTTCTATACATTTAGATGTCTTAGACCTAAAACTCTTGATGATCAAGGACCTCATGTTATCAATGGACCTGGTTACACCAGAATCGTTCATTGTAACCAGCCTCATTTGCATTTGGCTACTAAACTCATTAGGTACCGTTCCAACTATGTATCGACTACTAGGTACAACTTGCTCACTTTCTTACCTAAATGCTTGTACGAGCAATTCCACCGCGTTGCAAACTTCTATTTCCTCGTTGCTGCCATTCTCTCTGTCTTTCCTCTGTCTCCGTTTAACAAATGGAGCATGATTGCTCCTTTGGTATTCGTTGTCGGGCTTAGTATGGGGAAAGAAGCCTTGGAGGATTGGCGAAGGTTTATGCAAGACGTTGAGGTGAATTCTAGGAAAGCTAGTGTTCATAAAGGGAGTGGAGATTTTGGTCGAAGGGCGTGGAAAAGAATCCGTGTTGGAGATATCGTAAGGGTGGAGAAAGACGAGTTCTTCCCCGCTGATTTGCTCTTATTGTCATCGAGTTACGAGGATGGGATTTGTTATGTTGAGACGATGAATTTAGATGGTGAAACTAACTTGAAAGTTAAGAGATGTTTGGATGCTACTTTAGCATTGGAGAAGGATGAATCCTTTCAGAACTTCTCTGGAACGATAAAATGCGAAGATCCGAATCCGAATCTGTATACTTTTGTTGGTAATCTTGAGTGTGATGGCCAGGTTTATCCACTTGATCCTAACCAGATTCTTTTGAGAGACTCAAAGCTTAGGAACACGGCTTATGTTTATGGTGTTGTGGTTTTTACTGGCCATGACACAAAAGTAATGCAGAATTCAACAAAGTCTCCTTCAAAGAGAAGCAGGATTGAAAAGAGAATGGATTACATTATATACACTCTCTTTGCTCTTCTCTTGACTGTTTCCTTCATCAGCTCTCTGGGATTTGCTGTGATGACAAAACTTTTAATGGCAGATTGGTGGTATTTGCGACCAGACAAGCCTGAAAGCTTGACAAATCCTTCAAATCCTTTGTATGCTTGGGTTGTTCATTTGATCACTGCTCTCTTGCTTTATGGTTACTTGATTCCAATCTCATTATATGTTTCCATTGAGGTAGTGAAAGTCTTGCAAGCACATTTTATAAATCAAGACTTGCAGTTATATGATAGTGAGAGTGGGACTCCGGCTCAAGCACGCACGTCGAATTTGAATGAAGAGCTGGGACAAGTTGATACTATCCTTTCTGATAAAACAGGAACTTTGACATGTAATCAGATGGACTTTCTGAAATGCTCAATTGCGGGTACTTCTTACGGTGTCCGTGCCAGTGAAGTAGAACTAGCTGCTGCTAAGCAGATGGCCATGGATCTTGAGGAGAAAGGTGAAGAAGTTACAAACCTTCCAATGACTAAAATCAGGACACAACGCTACTCAAAACTGGCTAGCAAGACGTCATCAGATTTTGAACTGGAGACTGTAGTCACTGCTAGCGACGAAAAGGATCGGAAGCAGAATACTGGTGTTAAGGGGTTTAGTTTTGAAGATAACCGTCTAATGAATGAAAACTGGTTAAATGAACCTAATTCAGATGACATTTTGATGTTTTTCCGTATACTGGCGGTTTGCCATACAGCTATTCCTGAGGTGGATGAAGATACTGGAATGTGTACTTATGAAGCTGAGTCTCCTGATGAAGTTGCTTTCCTTGTTGCTTCTAGGGAGTTTGGTTTTGAGTTTACTAAGAGAACTCAATCAAGTGTGTTTATAGCTGAACGATTTTCATCTTCAGGCCAACCAGTTGATAGGTAAGACTTTAAATCTTTCAATTTTTTCCATTGATCTTTGCATATAGATGTCTAATCATGTAGAGGTTATTTTACAGAGAATACAAAATCTTGAATCTGTTAGACTTCACTAGCAAAAGAAAAAGAATGTCTGCCATTGTCAGAGATGAGGAAGGGCAAATTCTTCTACTATGTAAAGGCGCTGACAGGTTTGACCGCATAATTTCAAGCCAGTTCCAGTTGCTTCTAATTTCTTCTAACCACAATCCTTTTCTGCAGCATCATATTTGACCGTTTATCAAAGAATGGAAAAGAGTATCTGGGAGCTACTTCCAAGCACTTGAATGAATATGGTGAAGCGGGTTTACGCACATTGGCACTCGGTTACAGAAAGCTGGATGAGACCGAGTATTCAGCATGGAACACTGAGTTTCACAAAGCCAAAACTTCAGTTGGAGCTGATAGAGATGAAATGCTCGAGAAGGTTTCAGATATGATGGAGAAGGAACTGATCCTTGTTGGAGCTACTGCTGTGGAGGACAAACTGCAAAAAGGGGTATGAATCATAGTTTAATTGTGATTATTACAAAGACGCGGCTTTTCAAAAATCATTTTCAACTTACTGTTTGTAGTTCACTTTAGGTGCCTCAATGCATAGATAATCTTGCCCAAGCTGGTCTCAAAATATGGGTTTTGACAGGAGATAAGATGGAGACAGCAATAAACATAGGGTTTGTTCTTCTTTGTTACTGATACCACAGACTCCTAAACTGTTTCTGACTAGATTCATTTCTCTAAAAACTAAGTGGACTAATTGAGTTCTTTGGTTGGCAAAATGCAGATATGCCTGCAGTTTACTGCGACAGGGTATGAAGCAGATATCCATTTCACTTACAAATGTAGAGGAATCATCACAAAACTCTGAAGCTGTATGTATTATGTCGATGCTATAATTAAAAACCAACATTTACTGTTTTCAGTAGAATCTTGCATGTGATACCAAAACTTGTTATTGGTCTCAGGCTGCAAAGGAGAGCATTTTGATGCAGATCACAAATGCTTCACAGATGATCAAAATAGAAAAGGATCCACATGCAGCATTTGCTTTGATCATTGATGGAAAGACACTTACATATGCTTTGAAGGATGATGTCAAGTATCAGTTCCTTGCCCTTGCAGTGGACTGTGCATCAGTGATCTGCTGTCGTGTCTCTCCCAAACAGAAAGCACTTGTACGAATAGCTCCACAATTCTTAAAACATCTTTATTGGTTTCAGAACATTACCATATTTTTGTTTATATTGGTTTTTGTAGGTAACAAGGCTAGCCAAAGAAGGAACAGGAAAAACAACTTTGGCAATTGGTGATGGTGCAAATGACGTTGGAATGATTCAAGAAGCTGATATTGGTGTTGGCATCAGTGGCGTTGAAGGCATGCAGGTGATTCAAAAAACTTTTCTTCAGCACATTGAGACATGGTTAAGTTTTGATAGTTTTTCTGAGAATATTTGGTTCTGTTTCTTTGCAGGCTGTAATGGCAAGTGACTTCTCCATAGCTCAGTTTCGGTTTCTTGAGAGACTACTTGTTGTTCACGGACATTGGTGCTACAAACGAATAGCCCAGATGGTAATATATGCATTGATATAACTCACCAGACAACGTATATCTATATATAATATATATATACCTGATCTTGATTCGTAATTGTTGGTTTCACAGATTTGTTACTTCTTCTACAAGAACATAACCTTTGGTCTAACTCTCTTCTACTTCGAAGCCTTTACCGGCTTTTCTGGTCAATCAATATACAATGACTCCTACTTATTACTCTTCAACGTTGTTCTCACTTCTCTCCCGGTCATTTCCCTCGGAGTTTTTGAACAAGATGTTCCTTCTGATGTCTGCTTACAGGTTATATAAAGTCCTCTCCATCATCTTTCACATTAGAAAAAAAAAAAACCTTCTTCTTGAATCTTCTTGATTCATTTCTTGGCCTGTTTACTTTTTCTAGTTCCCTGCATTGTATCAACAAGGCCCCAAGAACCTGTTCTTCGACTGGTACAGAATACTTGGATGGATGGGGAATGGAGTTTACGCATCCATAGTCATCTTTGCACTGAACCTCGGAATCTTCCATGTCCAATCATTCCGCTCAGATGGCCAAACCGCAGACATGAATGCCATGGGAACCGCCATGTTCACATGCATCATCTGGGCAGTAAATGTTCAAATCGCTCTAACCATGAGTCACTTCACTTGGATCCAACACGTAATGATTTGGGGAAGCATAGGAGCTTGGTACGTCTTCCTCGCTCTTTACGGTATGTTACCAGCAAAACTCTCAGGCAACATCTTTCACATGCTCGTCGAGACTCTAGCCCCTGCACCCATCTTCTGGCTTACTTCACTACTGGTCATAGCCGCCACAACGCTCCCTTACTTGTTCCACGTTTCATACCAAAGATCAGTGAACCCTCTTGACCATCACATTATACAAGAGATCAAACATTTCAGGATCGATGTAGAGGATGAGAGAATGTGGAAACGAGAGAAGTCAAAGGCGAGAGAGAAGACAAAGATTGGGTTCACGGCTCGAGTCGATGCTAAGATCAGGCAGCTAAGAGGGAGGCTTCAAAGGAAGCATTCGGTGTTAAGTGTTATGAGTGGAACATCGTCTAATGATACACCTTCTTCAAGCTCACAACAGACTTGATGATTGAGACCAAGTAAGTTTTGTTTAACCACTTAATATTTTTCCCGAGAAAAAAATCATCAGATGGAGAAAGTTGAATTCAAGTTAGATGAAAGAAAGAGACTTATTTTATTTTCCTTACTAATCAAATGGTTTATACAATTATTAGACAAAGATAGAAGAAAGAGGGGATTGTTGTATCGTGTTTGTGTGTGTGTGTACACTAGTACTAATGAAAAGAAGAAGAAGAAAAAAGAGATGTGATTACTGATTAGACAAAGTTTGACAAATAGTTGACATTTTTTCTTTCTTACAAATGGATTCGGATTCACACAAAAAACATTAGCGTGGTGAAGCTTTATTACCGAAATTGAAAAACAAATGTTTTCAAAGAAATGAACCAAAACTCTTTACCACTTCAAAATGTAAGGAATTATAGCAGCCTGACTTCCCAATGAAAGATTTCCAAGTGACAAACAAAACCGTAAAAACAGGTATAGAATTGCTATGACTAGACTTGTATTACGAACGTTTTGTGGATCGGATCAAACAACCAAATAAATAAATATTGCATGTTAAAAAGAAAAATAGTCAGAAATATGTTCGATAGAGTTGATGTAGAATACTAGAGAATGAAAAAGATGTATCGATGATTCAGAGAGATAGAGAGAGAAACGGGTCAAAAATCAAATAAGAAACTTGCGAAACAAGCAACCTTTCTTCTTCTTCTTCACAGCAAATCGGCCACGTTTGAGGGAAGCTCCTCAACGACCACATTGTAGAATTTCTGAATATCAAACAGCATTCTCTGATCATCACTAGTCACAAAGTTAATCGCCACACCCTTTCTCCCGAACCTTCCACTTCTTCCGATACGGTGAAGGTAATTCTCTGGCTGAGTTGGGAGGTCAAAGTTTATGACCAGAGAGACTTGCTGCACATCGATACCACGAGCCAAGAGATCAGTCGTGATTAGAACGCGAGAAGAACCAGACCTGAATTCTCTCATGATGATGTCTCTTGTGTTTTGGTCCATGTCTCCATGAGTTGCTGAGACTGTGTGGTCACGGCTTCTCATTTTGTCTGTGAGCCAGTCGACCTTGCGACGAGTGTTGACAAAGATGACACTCTGAGTGATTGCTAGAGTCTCATAGAGATCGCAGAGAGTCTCGAGCTTCCACTCTTCTTTCTCCACGTTCACGTAGAATTGCTTGATACCTTCAAGTGTGAGCTCATCACGTTTCACCAAGATTCTCACTGGTTTGCTCATGAATTTCCTTGTGATCTCCAGAGCTTCCGGAGGCATCGTAGCTGAGAACACTCCAACCTGAATCTTTGGTGGGAGAAGCTGGAATATGTCATAGATCTGCAAATTCATCAGAAAATAACCAAGTCAATATCACAGTTCAATAACCATACTAGGGAAAGATTCAAACTGGATAAAGTAAAGCAAACCTGATCCTTGAAACCACGGGAGAGCATTTCATCAGCTTCATCAAGGACAAACATCTTGATGGAGTCAGGGCGAAGAGATTGTCTTCTAAGCATGTCAAACACACGACCGGGAGTTCCAACCACAACATGAACACCAGCCTGGAGAATGCGCTGATCCTCACGGACGCTGGTTCCACCAACACAGGCGTGAACCTTGACACCTTGGTAATCACCAAGGGCACGCATGACCTTTTCAATCTGCTGAGCAAGCTCTCTGGTGGGAGCCAAAACGAGAGCCTGGCACTGGACAAGGGTATAGTCAAGCTGCTGCAAGACACCAGAGCAGAAAGTGGCAGTTTTTCCAGTGCCAGACTGTGCCTGCTGGATCACATCAAGACCCTTGCAAAAGGGTACAATTCCTCTTTGCTGAATAGCAGAAGGCTTTTCGAAACCTAGAAAAAAATCAACAAATCAATAACAGGAAAGAGCACAGACGATAAAGTTTATAGGAATCACAACAGAAAACACAAAAAGGTTGTTTCTAAAAACCTTCTCCACTTACCGTAAGCATAGATACCCCTGAGAAGGTTCTCTTGCAAACCCATGGCATCAAAGCTCTCATGGACCTCATCATATGAGGTGAAGAACTCATCCTGTCCCTCGAGTCTGCACCCAAACAAACAATAAAATTAGCAAATACAAAAAAAAATCTCATCAAAACGAGTAGTGGAAACTAAAGATCTTAAGACTTACACTTCATTAAGCTTCTGGTCAAACTGACGCGTATCAAATTGTGTACCTTCTGCTGCAGATCCTGCCATACTAGAACAATACACAAAAGAAATAAAAATTTAGACCACAAATAGCTAAAGATAACGAACAACAAGCCACTATTCATAAGAATGTAACAGAATAGCCAAACTTGAAGTTCCATAGAAAGAGGAACACAAGCATTAATATCTGAATTATTCGATGTCAGGAGAGACATAGGAAATATGGTTCATCTAATTATCATAACAGATACCATTGATACATCTATCTCTCCATGAAAGTATATAATCAACAAACACAAAAGTGTCCAAAATCAAAGAGAGAACCTTTGGATGATTTTAACACAAGAGTCGAAAATCGAAGCCTAACCCATCTCGATTTCAAATAAAGGAATTGAAGGGTTTCAGCGACTAATTGAATCCCGATGATGATTTTACAGATTTAAAAGCATCAATTTTGAACAAAATCCATCGCAAAGACACTAAATCAGACTCGAGATCCAATCATCGAAAAAGGAACAAATCGCAGAGAAAAGTAAAAGAGATAATTCCGAACCTGTGAGGTTAAGTAGTTGAATGAAAGATGAAAGCTTTGAGAGCAAAAGTGAAGGACTTTGTTAGATAGCTTGAAATCTCCGGAACTCGGATCTGGTAGAGAGATAAAGAGACGATGGAGCAAATAATAAAAATTGAGGTAGAGAGAGACCCAACCCAATACGTGTTAGCCACTTTTTATAGTCTCCCTTTTTTTTTAATTAGGGTTTTCTTACTTTTCCTATTTTTCTATATTTCCAATTTTGCCCCTACTCTCCTCTTTTCGATTTGAGATTTTCTCTAACTCTTCACACTTTTCCTAAATTTCGTAGGAAAATATTGTTACCAATCAACTTACTTTACACCAATGTCAAAAGAGACTATGAATCGCAATTGCATACTTAACACACAAGAGAAGATATCAAATCACAATCACAAGTGTTTTACTTCCATACGCCAATACCAAACTTTTAATTTAGAAAAGAAAGACCAAATTTTCTTTTGGAAAGCTTATTCTTTCCAGCACCTTTTGATGCTTTCTGACGTAGCAAAGCATTCTCAAGACTCAATAGACACGTCATTCTTTTTTAGAAAAAATTTTATATAAATGCTAACCAGATGTTTTATGAACAAAACGGTGAACATTAGTTCCCCACTACAACCACAAAATAAGAACTACAAAAACAGAGCTGACTTTGGTTAGATAAGTCAAATGAAATCAGTTATCTAAATTGAACCAAAGAAGATATATACGATCGTGTCTACTAGTAGAGCTCTTTACCATAGAAAAACCTCTTCCCCAAGAGCACCTGCAAGAAACAAAGCAAAAGTCAGTGATGATCATGGTGATGATGATGATCACGAATTGATCGGTTTCTTGAGATACATTGTTGGTGGATTTCTAAGCATAACTGAAGCATCGTGTGGCTTTCTTCTAAGAACTTGTGCATTCGTTCTTCTTCTTCGACTGCCTCTGCTGCTATCAACCTTTTGTTATCTGACTCTGCTAGTTTCATTGCTACGACTTCTGGTGCTACTTCCATCACTTTGTTTTCTAATTCTGAGATCTTGTAGCCATCTAATAATACCTGCATTTTGCAATGATAATAACCCGAACTTGACATTTACTAATAAACATGTCTAATTGATCTTGTTATAATAGAGAATGGTGCATCAATATATAACCACACTGTTGAGAGGGAAAAAAAAAAAACCTTTTCCAGTTTGCCTTGAGAAACGAGAATTGTCAGGCACTCACTCAAAAACATCCTAAAGTCTTGTCGCTCCTCGTACCAGTCCTGAAATTGATCAACCACAGGGGATCATATCTTTTGATGCTATGATACTGTAAATTGGATGAGCAACATGTAATTAACGAGAGTAAGATTACGTCATTTTCTTTTGCCAACTCATTGATTCGTTCTGCTACTCTATTTGCTGCTGCGTCTATCTCCCGTGTTTCTTTTGATGTTGTTAATATCACAGAAGTACTTGGTAGCTCTGTTGGCTTCGTGGAATCTTTTGGACACAGGGTGAGTGTTGGCTTCATTTCTTTCGTAACTGAGATTTTGTAACGATTTCGTACCTGCATTTGTAAAGTAATTTTTGAGTTTATCAAATAATATAACTCAAGTTTATTATTGCTACATCTTGTCATATAGATGTTGGGGGTATGGAGAAAAGTAGATAGGCGTGTGGCAAACCACACATCAAGAAAACAAAACTAGTTACCTTTTTGAGTTTGTCTTGAGAAACAAGGATTCTCAGGCTATAACTCAACAGTCTCTTAAAGTTTTGTGGAACCTCCTCATGTTGTTCCTGCAATTGATCAACCACAAAGATTAACTTCCAACTGGATTCGATGTTATGGTTGAACGTAATTATGAGAGATATCCAAATGATTTTTTGCAAAGCTTGAACTAGGATACAATAAAGAAACCTAGAGAAGAGAACGTAATGCAGCAGCACTGGTGAAGCCTGAAGGCAAAGGATTCATGCTTGGAGTAAAATGTTATAAGGAGGAAAATGGAAACCACACTTTTAGAATTTTTCTTGAGTCTGCATTTCTTGACCATTGTGTAAAGTTGTAGTAACTGATCGCAACAAAGAGGTTCCAACAGGCGGTTGGTAATGCTAATCAAATGGTATCAGAATGTTTGCAGTCATCATGGTTGTGGTAGACTACTCACTACATATATCTACAACCTAAGAAGTTACCAACTAACTTTCAGATAATAAAAATCCGTATGTTCTATCCATTGTGATCAGTTATAGACTCACTTCAGAGTTCAGACAAAGATACAATCTATCGACTTGGTTCAGTTGAAAACTTAGCTTTTGTATCCAGAAAAAAAAAAAGAGTATAATGAGACCCAAGGAAATAACTCTGACAAGAAATAACTAATGAATGTCAAATATAAACCATGAAAACAAAGAATTTAATGTAATATATCCTCTTCACCTCGACAAAGCTGAGAATCTCCTTGAGATTAGATCCATTTTCATCATTAATTGTTGATATAGCCTCAAAAACCATTGCAGCATACCTTACAATAAGGTAAATGAGAAGATGTCAGCAGAAGCTGTTAAAATACAGGAATCAAAGAACATTCCAGTTTAAAAAATCTCCATATATAACAAACCTAGTATCATTGCTAACAACAGCACGAGAAGTCTTTGAAGGTGAAGTGAAAATGGAGTTAGATTCGAGTGTATGTGTCCTTGATTTCTTCATATTACGCCATTTATCCTTGACATTACGCAAGAAGAGTAAACAAGACAACATCAATCCAACATTAAACACCCAAATTTCGACCTAATCCACATAATAAATCTCAAAAATCAATTCCCATGGAAGACGAACAGATTTTGGGAATTTTCGATACCTTGAGGTTAATGTTAGTGCGATCTAGAAGTTGAGCCGCAAACTCGGGATCGTCTACAATATTCGACCATTTTCCGGAACCGTGCTTGGCTATTCCGGCGAGAAGCGCCTCCTCTTCTTCCACCGTCCATTTATTCTTACGATGTCCTAGCATCTCTAAACACTTCGTCGTCCTCTCTCTCTCGAAATCAAATTCACCTTCGGTATTGACTCTAAATCTATGCGTGTATACCAAAACACACTCGTACGCTTCAGATCAGTCGTCTTCTTCGTCGTCAGTCACCGGAGAAGAAGACGACACCCAATTCAGTATTCCCGCTTTTCTAATTGTTAATTTTTATTTCTTCTTCAACTCGAAATATTTATCATTTAGAAGGCCTTTAATGGGCCTACAATACGGCCCACTATAAAGAATAAAATCTGGGTCTGCTCATAATTTTTTAGACTAATTTCAACCGTTGAAATATATTCTCTCGTGGTCTGAGATTTATGTAGCTTCATATTGTTAGAACTAGCTTAGAGCTACGAACACATTTCACCGGCGAAGTCAAATTGTGGGATGGGATGTTAAAACGGTACGGAAAAACTTGTTTATGCACAAGAGTTGCTTCATGAAAATCGGATAAGTTGAAGTAGCAAATGTTAAACATTAGATCAAGATTTCTGTTAATATGCGAAAAATGCCGGGTAATGATCAGACAATGGCATCTCACAGCTTCCTCATGAGTAGGAAGAGCCTCTGGTCGAGTTCGAAGTGAGAAATGTGAGCTGGATCTCCCTTAAGCAACATCAGGAGGCCGCCAAACGAAACATATAGCTCTCTGGAAACACAATAGTTTAAAGAAAGAAACCAAAATATGATGGTTAGATATGTAAGTTGGATGGGATCATTATTTTGATTTTGGGGTCTAGGTATATGGGATTCTTACGCTTTTGGAGTTTTGCCGTCACGCTCAGAGATCTTGTAAAGCTTCCCGTACATGATGTATTCATACTTATCCGCAAGTGTTTTCTTTGCTCCCTGTCATATATCGAGATGAAAACTACATAACATTAATGTTCAGATGAGCAAACAACATTCTTGGTTTCAAATTTAGGTTTTCAAGATTCAAATCACTAAAGCTTGCTAAGATTCCATTTGTCTACTCTTATTCCTAGATAGACAGGCTTCTCGAATCAGCCAACAGAGTTGTAATATCAACAGTTATATCCTAACCAAATCCTGATACGGGTTCACTGTTGTTACCATTCATGAAATTTGGCCAAGCAGACAAGAAATTGTGTATATACACAAAACAGATCAAACAAATAAAAAGCAGTAGACTTTATATTACCGGAGTAAAATATCCGGTATCAGGGGTTCCATCGAGATTAAGCGTGGGAGCCAACGCAAGTGTGAACTTATCACCAACAGCCAATGGATAAACCTCTGTGTTAACATCTAAATGCATAAACATTTCCAAGTTGTGGCTCGTAGCTTGAACGCGAGTAACTGTAACAAGAAACACACACACCCACAACAAAAATCATTGTAGGTTTAAGAGAAAGCCACTCAATCTGAAGACAGAACAAAACTTGGGGAGACTAAAAACTTAAAAAAAGTCGAGATTTTTCTACAAAACCCACACACTCAGACCAAAAAAGGATAAACGTAAGAACTCATTACCAATACATAAACTAAAATAGCTATGAACAAACGTCGATTGAAGCCATAAGAAGCACTATAAATCGTGAGTGAGGTTACGAAAGTGTCTACCTTTATCGAACTTTTTGCCATCAGGGTCGAGCTTATCGACAACGAAGATATCCTCGAACAAGATAATATTGCTCGCCATCTGCAAACACGGAAATTCAAACCCTAATGAGAACTATAGGAACATCTAATGAGATTAAGAAGCCGAACTCTGAAATCAACTTATAAGGAACCAATCGCATAGTAAAGTAAATATTTCCGAACCTCTGGAGTTTGAGTTGAGTGAGAGATGAAAGCTTGAAATCAAAAGTGAAAGACTTTCTTGAGAGATAGTACCAAGCAATAGGCGAGAGAAGAGCAAATAAAAAGTTAAAGGACTTTAAGGTACATAGAGACATACACTGAGCAATACTCAGAAAGTCCTAACAATAAGCTTTTAATGGGCTTACAATGAGGCCCATTATAAAACTAATTCTCATAAACTGATCACTAATCAGTATTGAAATTAATCTCGACCGTTAGAAACACTTAAACGTTGATAAAGCCACCATCACACACTTTTCTTTCTTGTATTAGAAAAATAAATTCAATTTTCTTAAGATTGGCATTATCTGTAAAAACTTTGTATCAGAAAAAGTAAAAGAATAGTTTGTTGCCTTTATAACCTCTAAACTAAACAGAAGTCACAAAAAGTGACTAGTTTAGTCAAATGAAATCACACTTCTACACTCTCTTTTTTTTTTTACTTAAAGCCAAGAACTCTCAAAGAAACCGGTGATCCACATTGAACCGGACCAGAAGGTAAAGCTTTTACAGCAGGTAAATCTGTTCACCGTTAGCACCTGCAAGGAACAAAGCAAATTAAAAGGTCAGTGATGATGATGATGATGATTATGATAATGATGATGTGGTTAAGAGGTGGACATAACGTACATCGGTTAAGGATTTCCACGGCTAACTCCAAGATTATGTTGCTTTCTAAATTTAGCAACTGGACGTGTCTATCTGCAAGTTCTTCTGCCTCTTTTGCTTCGAACTCCAAGTGTTCTGCCTCTGCGACTTCTCTTGCTACTGCTTCTATCCGAGGATCTTCTTCTGTTGCTGCTGGTGCGAAAGAAGCACAAGTACTTGGTGTGTCTTGTGGCTTTGCGCTCGTCGAATCTTCTGGACTCATGGTTTGTGGTAGATTTGAAGCTACTACTGACACTAATTGAGTATCAAAAAGACCATGTGGGATCTTGTAGAGGTTTCCTACCTGCACCATTTACAAGTTTTTTTGAATCTTGATCAAACAAAACTACTGAATCTTGCATTAGTATAAGGCAACTCCAGTAGTTACCATCTCTACTTGGCCTTCAGAAACTAGATTTCCCAGCTGGACTTCCAACCGGTCCCTAAAATCTTCCTGTAACTCGTTCCTTTCCTGCAGTTTATATTAACCACAAGAACAACTCTGAATTTAAACCAAACAAGAGAAACGTAGAGAAGGGAAGCATGATGTTTGGTTGATCAAGAACAATTGGAGGAATCAAGAAAACCAAGACATAAAAGGTTTCCTAATGTATGAAGTCAAATGGTATATGAAGTCAAATTTTCAGATCCTAATGTTCCATTGTGTAATCCAGCTATTGACTCACTTCAGAACCGATTGACACACAAGCTATTGACTCATTGTGTTAACACAGATACTATAGAGAGAGAAATTCTCCTAACCTCGATAAAATTGAAAATTCCATCGATATCAAGACCATTTCCATCAGGATAGACTGTTTCTAAAGCCTGATAAATCAATTCATCAGTCGTAAACCTGAAACAGAACCAAAAAATATAAGAGAAAATAAGGGAACAAATCTGTCAAAACATAGACCAGAGAAATCAAAAATTGGTGTTAAAGAATCGAAAAGGTCACAAACCCTGAGGGACCCCTGTCGTCTTCTGTATCTATCATGGCCCTTTCAAGCTGGTCGCTGAAAAAAAGAGATAAACAAATCTGTCAAAACATCACCAGAAAATCAAAAGATCAATTCTAAAAGATTGCTTTTAAAGAATCCAATAAAATTCACTAACGCATAGGGAAGGTTTTCTGCTGAAGGATCTGAAGAAGAAGAAGATGAAGAAGAAGCAGCAGGTGGTAGATTTCTGAAAAAAAACGAGAAAGAAATTGACATTACTATTTGAAGCAGAGCTTTAAGCCTCGATCGATCTCTTTGATTTCCACAAAATAAAACAATACTATTGAGATACGAAAGTTCACGAACCCATAAGTAACGTCATTCGCATCCGATAAAGAATCACCAGGATCCATGGCCATTGAAGAAGGATCGTCGCTGAAAAAAGAAAGAAACTGACATATTACAGATCAACCATTTGAAGCATCGATCTTTTTGATTTCTTCAAAATTTCCTTCGATTGAATCAAACTACGCCATTTTCGCCTTGAAATCTCGAAATCTCAATCGGTTTCCATGGAAGAAAATAAAGATCTTACTCGATATATCTTGAATTCGGGTTCTTCTTGAACAGTATCAATGGTGATCGATCACTATATGTATACGCGTATATATAAACAAATATACATTCGTATATACCTGTGCTTCAGAGAAACCCAGTCGCAGTCGTCTCGTCTCGTCGGAGAAGAAGATGTAACTAACTCTATTTCCCGCCTTTCTATTTTTTTTTTTTTTCCAACTGCCAAATCGCAAATCGCAAATATATATAGCAATCTGATTGGGCCTAAGTATTAATGGGCCTAGGTTCAGGTCTACAATTAAAGTCAACTTTAATCTCGCCCGCATTCAAAAAACCCACTATTTTACAAGTCATATTTTAGTCAACACTCCTAAACTGATCATTGATCAGGATTAAAAATTTAAAACTAATCTCGACCGTTAAATATACTTCGTTGAGAAAACCTCACACACTCTTTATTTTTTAAAATTGTATTAGAAACATAAATTAAATTCTAAAAATAATATCTACAAATGCAATGCACAAACTTGTATTAACAAAATGTAAAAGATTAGTTTGTTGACTTTACAATCAAAAACAATTAACCTCTAAACTACACAGAAGTGTCAAAATTGATCAGTTTAGTTTTTTTTTTTTGTCAACAGCTTAGTCAAATGAAATTTTACACACTTTTTTTACTCAAAGCCAAAAAACTATAAAAAATAAACCGGTTATCGAACACATCCAGTCATCCACATTGAACCGGACCAGAAGATCAAAGCTTTTACCGCAGGAAAATCTTTTGACCATTAGCACCTGCGAGGAACAAAGCAAAAGGCCAGTGATGATGAATTGATGATGATGATGGTTATGATGATGATGTAGTTAAGAGTTGGACATTACATCGGTTAAGGATTTCCACGGCTAATTCCAAGAATAATCTTTCTAAATCTAGCATCTGGCTGTGTCTATCGACAAGTTCTTGTGCCTCTTTTGCTTGGAACTCATAATTTTCTGCCTCTGCGACTACTTTTGCTACTGCTTCTACCTGAGGATTTTCTTCTGGTGCTCTTGGAACGAGAGAAGTACTTGGTGACTCTTGTAGCATTGTGGAATCTTCTCTAGTAGCTGCTGTGGTAGGAACACGTTGGGGCATCATCTTGTAGCGGTTTCCTACCTGCATTTTGCAAGTTTTTTTTTTACTGAAATGATCAAACAAAAAATCTACAAGGAAATCTTGCAACTTGTATTTAGTATGAGGCAATTAATGTATAGTTACCTTCTCTATTTTCCTCTCAGCAACTAGTTTTTCAAGCTCGTCTTTCAATAGCTCCCTAACATTTTCCGGTATAACGTACCGTTCCTGCAATTTATATCAACCACAAGAACAACTTTGTAATAAGAAACTAGGAAACGTAGAGAAGAGAGCGAATATGATGGTTGGTGATCCTAATGTTGCATTATCTCTGTGTTGTAATCAGTAATTGACTCACTTCAGAACCAATATACACACACACACAAGCTATACATGGAATCATCGTACGAAAGATCAAACCTGAAAACAGATACTTATAGAGAGAGGGAAAGAGATTCTCCTAACATTGTTAAATTCGAAAATCCCATCGACATCACGACCAGATCCATCATGTTCTTCATCGATTGTTGATAAAGCTTCCAAAACCATATCATCTAAACTTAACGTGTACCTGGAAAACAAAATTAAAAAGGAGAACAAATCAGAAACCAAAGGTCAATTGAAGAATCCAAAAGGGTCAACACAAAAGGGTCACAAACTCATAGGTGACGTTCGCATCTGAAGTATCCATGGCCGCTGAAGAAGGATCGTCACTGAAAAAAGGAGATACAAATCTATCAAACATAGAGATCAAACCACAAAAATCAATTTCAAAGATTTAAGGATCGACAAGGTAACAAACCCAAAACCAACAATGTTCGCATCTGATGGATTATCTGCAGAATCCATGTCCATTGATGAATTCTTTTCGCTGAAAAATAGAAAAATCAAGAAATTGAAGCAGAGCTTTTTGAATCGATCTCTTTGATTTCCCCAGAATCCAAGAGATCACAAACCCAGAGGCAGCGTTCGCATCCGATGAACTATCTTCAGAATCCATGGCCACTTAAGAAGGCTCGTCGCTGAAAAAAGAAAGAAGAAAGAAACTCTTTGATTTCTCCAAAATTAGCTTTGATTGAATCAAACTACACAATTCTCTCCTTGAAATCGCGAAATAAGAGAAAGATTTTGATCAGTCGCGTAAATGTCATTTTGGTTTCCATGGAAGAAGATAAACATTAAGTCTATATACCTTGAATTCGAGATCTTCAGAAAAAACGCAATCGCAGATTCGCAGTCGTCTCGTCGGAGAAGAAGACGTAACTAGTTCTCTGTTTCCCGCTTTTCTTCTTCTTTTAATTTCCAACCGAAAAAAAAAAAACTCAAAACGCAAAATCGTAAATAGTAAATACTATCGCAATCTGATTGGGCCATTATAAGTCCTTAATGGGCCTAAAACGTTCAGGCCTATAATTAATAAAGTCAACTTTAATCTCGACCGTACGATTGTAATATATACGCAGTGTCTTCTCTCTCGTTTCACCAGTCACTGATTTTTGCTGTCTTCTGGTAAAATCAGAAAGCTGAGAGAAACTAAAAAAAAACAAATTCAATAAAGGAAAAAAAAAACCCTAACAGTCCAAACCAAAAAGTTTTCTTCTTCCATAGTTAGAGCCAAAAGCACACAGGTGAGAAACGAGAATCGGATCGGCTGAAGCAGTTCCGATAGTGAATCAATGGCTTATGCGTCACGCATCATCAATCATTCCAAGAAGGTAATTGTTTCTCGATTACATTTTTTCTCAGATCATTTTGTGTATTTTTATGTTCTTCAGCGATCGAGTATTTATATTACGAAATTGGGTTTGCACATTCGTTCGGCGTTGAGGATTATCTGAATTGTGTTTGAATAATTGTTTCTGCTTTTAGAGATTCAATTGAATTGTAATAATCTAGTTTGATGATCATTTGTGATTTATGTGTCAGCTTGCTATTGAGAGATGATTGAGATCTGTAACGCCGCTTGGTGTTTTTGTAATTTTGGCAGTTGAAGGATATTTCCACTTTGCTACGCCGTGAGCATGCTGCAATGGTCCGCTACTTCTCGAACACTAATCGAACTCCTCTGAACAGAGAAGGTAATGTTATCCTCCTGAGGTAGAAAATTTTCCAATTGTACTTTTGTATGGTTCTATGGTTAGTTTCTGTGAGACTCTCCGCTTGTTGCTTCAGCTCTTTTTTTTTTTTTTGCTATGGTCTTCAGATACTTTCAATGCCCGTCTTGGTTATTCCCCACTGGAAAGGATTTCCAAATTCAGCATTGGCATTGTAAGTCCTTTCTGTTCTTTGTAGCTGTAGCAGTGTCCCATCTCGTTGAATCATGTTAACTAGTTAGCAGAAACCTTAAGAGTTTTGCGTTGTCTTGATGTCGTTAATTCCTCTATATAGGTACCGGTGTCCATTAGTTTTTCAACTACGAGAACAAATCTAAGCAGTGCAATGGGAAGGCCAATATTTGGAAATGAATTTTCAGGGTTTAGTCTCATTATCTTACTCTATGTGGCGGATGTGCTTTTAGCCTTAGCTGCCTCCTTGTATAGATTCTTTTTATTCTTAACTTTAAGCTTATTTTTTCTGCATACCAGTTCGATGCAATCAGCTAGAGGGTTTTCATCGGGTTCAGGTAGTCAGCTTTTTCTTCCAGACCTTTAAATTTATTTTATGAGCTTTTGTTCACTTTACTCTTGTAATTTCCACCTTGCTCTTACATACATATTCACCGATTCCATTTTAGCTAAGGATAATCTGTTTCGCATTGCCATTCATCTGGCTTTACGTGAGCAATATCAGATTTAATGACTTTCCTAGAAGAAGGTCGTTCCTTGGATACACTAATTCTGTATCTGGATAACGGTATAAGGGCTTTAGTTCAAAATCCCTGCTAAGACAGTTGCATAGTGCTTAAACAATTGTGTAACTTGAGAATGCTAAATTGTATGAGCTTTACATTGGTTCATTTTACCTAGAATTTCTAAAATTGTGTTTCAGATCTGCCTCCTCATCAAGAGATCGGGATGCCTTCTCTCTCGCCAACAATGACTGAGGCATGGACCTTTATTTACCTCTTAATCGAAACTTATGTTCGTTTATCTTTACGTTCTAATAAGCTGTTTTCCCAATTTTCAGGGTAACATTGCCAGGTGGCTGAAAAAAGAAGGTGATAAAGTTGCTCCTGGGGAAGTACTCTGTGAAGTTGAAACTGTAATGTCAATCTAGATTGATTCTCATCTCCGTATTTTTATTTTCATGTTTTGGAAATATCTCTAACTAGGTTATGTTCTGTAGGACAAAGCAACTGTCGAAATGGAATGCATGGAAGAGGGCTATCTCGCCAAGATTGTAAAGGCGGAGGGTTCAAAAGAAATTCAAGTCGGCGAGGTATGAAAATTGTCTGGTTTCTGTAGAGTTATGTATTATCATGATTTCTCATGTGACTTCGGGTATTGATATTAGGATCCACAGTCCATTTGTGGAAATGTTAAATGGAATTATTTGGATCATGTCAAATTTCTTTTAGCTTCAAGTAGGTAATTGCTATTACAGTTGAAGATGAAGAGGACATTGGAAAGTTCAAAGATTACACCCCATCATCTACTGCTGATGCCACTCCTAAAGCAGAACCAACTCCTGCCCCACCAAAGGAAGAGAAGGTCGAACAGCCATCATCGCCTCCTGAACCGAAGGCTTCCAAGCCTAGCTCACCTCCCACAGGAGATCGTGTTTTTGCTAGTCCTCTTGCAAGAAAATTGGCTGAAGATAATAATGTTAGTATCACATTGTTCTAATCTTCCTTATCACATTCTCTTCTTTTTTTTCTTAATCTTCCTGGTTAATTTTTCTTCTCGTTTACTTTAAAAAACATCAGGTGCCTCTCACAAACATCAAAGGTACAGGTCCTGAAGGGCGGATAGTGAAGGCAGATATCGATGAGTACTTAGGTATAAGTAACTCCTTGACTCTTCCTTTCCTTTCTTTTTTTTCAGACCTTTCTTAACATCTCTTGACATTTATCACTTATCCTTGTGTCCTAATAAATCTTTCAATGGTGCAGCTTCAAGTGGTAAAGGAGCTACTGCGAAGCCATCTAAGTCAACTGATTCTAAGGCCCCAGCTTTGGACTATGTTGACATCCCTCATTCTCAGATACGAAAGGTATAACCTATATAACCCTTGGAGCATTGTTAAGCCAGTTTCAATAGGTTCAAGGATTCTGAAACCTCGTTAACTATTTTATTTGACAGGTCACAGCCTCACGTTTGGCATTCTCTAAGCAAACTATCCCTCACTATTACTTAACCGTTGATACATGTGTTGACAAACTTATGGGGTAAGTATAAAGTTTTGGATGATGTATTTTGAGTCGCTGTCAATGGGTAAGCTTGACCAAGTGATTTGTATATGCAGTCTGAGGAGTCAGCTTAATTCATTCCAAGAGGCTTCTGGTGGGAAGCGGATATCTGTCAATGATCTTGTTGTTAAGGTACATTTTACTTGTGTATACTTTACATGCAAGCCAACAAATCTTCTAAAATATCCTACCGTCTTCATGCGTTTTAGGCTGCTGCATTAGCTCTCAGAAAAGTTCCTCAGTGCAATAGTTCATGGACTGAAGATAACATCCGCCAGTAAGTACATCGACAATCTTTTGAATATGAATGGGGGTAGCAAGCATCGTAACCTTTCTCTATAGGTTTAAAAATGTGAACATCAACGTAGCAGTGCAGACAGAAAACGGGCTGTATGTCCCTGTTGTGAAGGTGTGTGCAAAATAATGTTTAACCATTTGTTGTAGCACAACCTTGAGATTACTGAATTATACCAGTTTCTTGATTCCAGGACGCAGACAAGAAGGGTCTGTCCACAATTGGAGAAGAAGTTCGGTTGTTAGCTCAGAAAGCAAAAGAAAACAGCTTAAAGCCAGAAGATTATGAGGTGAGATAATTCATTATCTTACTCACTAATCATATCTTTCAATAAACAAGGCTAATAATCTCGTTTTCTCAGGGAGGAACATTTACTGTCTCTAACTTGGGAGGACCTTTTGGCATCAAGCAATTCTGTGCAGTCGTTAATCCACCTCAAGCCGCCATTCTAGCAGTTGGATCCGGTATATGCTCTCTCTTTGTCACCGCATAACCAAGTTTTTTCTACCTTATGAAAAAATCCAATAACCGATTCATGTTGTGTCTGATTCTTAAAAAACAGCTGAAAAGAGAGTTGTCCCCGGTAACGGACCAGATCAATTCAACTTTGCCTCTTACATGCCTGTTACACTGAGCTGTGACCATCGCGTAGTAGACGGTAATCCGGTTCTTTTATCATCATTGATTCATTCATCATCATTGTATAAATCTAATCTTCTTCTTACTGCAGGTGCCATTGGAGCTGAGTGGTTGAAAGCATTTAAGGGATACATCGAGAACCCCGAATCTATGCTGCTCTAAAAGAGAACCAACCACGCATTGGAACAACACACCAAAGCTCGTAAGAGTCTCTGATCTCGCATTTCTCTGTACCAATTGATTTCTTTGTTTTCATACGTTGAAAATCTCGGTATCTTTCGTTTTTTAAAAGATTTTTGTTTCTCTGAATAAATATGGGGCGGGGGATAAAGCTTGGTATTCAGCATTTCTAATGTAAACTGGATTTTAGGATATTATTTGCTGGCTCTGGTTGTTCATGGAGGGCGATGTAATAAACCCCACTGTATTTATTTTGTGAACTACCCCATATGGATGGGATGGGTTTGGTAACCATACTTGATACAAGTGGATTGATTTGAGTGAGTGAGTGAGTGCGTTTCGTAATCTCTATTTTTTTAAATTGTCCAAAACAACATTGTTACACTATCTTCAACATTTGAATGACAAAAGAGCCCATCCAATCCAATAATAGAGTGTTGTTGTGGTTGTCAACAAACTGTTTGTATTCAAAGTCACTGGATTTATCAATTGCATGTGGTATAGCAGAAACAAATTAATGTTGCGATTGTTCAGATACATTCCGAGTATTGTTGCTTGAGATCATAAATGCAAAACAAAATCCTAAAATTTCAGCTGGAACGAAAGTTGAGGGGTTATCCATAACATTAAAAGTTTAAAAGTTAAGGGTTTTAAGATAGATCTACTCAAAAGTTCGAGGACCTTTTTTGAGAGTTCTCGAAATCAAAACATTCTAGGATTTTTTTTGGTATCTCATAGTTATTTTTATGATTTATTTATCAATAATATTTGTACACATACTATTTACACGTTCACTTAAAGCCCAAACAAATTATAATATCATATCCTCAATTTCTTTTTTCTTCTTTTTCCAGTACTATGGATAAATTGTGAGATTTTTAGTTTTTTTTTTTTTTTTTTTTTTTTTTTTTTTTTTTTTTTTGTCACAATAGTCTCATTTTATTTTAGCCAAGTTCAGTACAAAGACGGATACTAAAACCCGCTAAGAAATACGGGATAGTACCGTAGCCACAAGCCCAAAAGAGGGAATCAAAGCCCAAAAGAGGGAATCAAAGCCCACAACTAGTAAACAGTCAAGCCTATTACAAGTTTTTGGAGTAAGCTTATAAACTATCGTAAGTAAGCTCGAATGGATCAAAGTTTGGCATCAAACTAACAAGGACTTAATAGAAGGAGCAAATCTAGCAGAAATTCTAACAGAAAATAAAAGACTAAGAGAGGGTTGAACGAATCTCTCACTTAACCCCTGTCCCAGGAACCTTTACACTTAACGCGCGACCGGCAGAGCCATGAGAATTTTAGTTTTTATTGCCTTTTTCAGCGTCAAAATCCATTAAAAATATCTTTTTCAGCCATTATTATATTTTCAAAAAATCTATAAAAATCTTCAGCTAACTTCGTCGAAAACGAAATAAACAAATAAATAAATATAACAAAATCGAGAAGAACAAAAAAAAAAAACTTTTGGCAACGAAAGCAAGAATCTCTCTTCCCGTCGGTCACGGTCGCGAATCTCTCAGGCAATCTCTCTTTCTCTTCTCTTTCTCAGGCAAGCTCGTTTGAACAACTTTTCTGGTGATTTTTTGTCCCTTTCTCGTTTGATTTTACTTGGAAAACTTCGTCCTTTTTCTCTCAGGATCAATAGGTTTTGTTCTTGATTGCTTTCTTGTCCTCAGACGTCTAGGGTTTATGTTAATTCCTTCTTTTTTTTCATCTTTTATATCGGATCATCATAATTTTTGGATATCGGGAAATGTAGGTTCTCTAAGATTTCTCCTGAATTTTTCCTTCTTATTAGTAAATTAGTATCCTCAGATTTTAATTTGAAATTCCTCTGCTTGACATTGGTTGCTGCATTTGAAAAATCTGTATTAAAAAAAAAAACTCAGCTTTGTCTTTCTTACATTCAAAAGTTTCTGCCTTTCATATTTGTCTGAGTCAAATCTGTATTTTTTCTGATTTTGATGTTTAGGTTACTTGGTGAGAGGAAGTTTAATCGAGTTCTTTCGCCATGAATTCGAGTAAGTTCACAAATTGTCCATTTCTCTTCTTCTTGGACTCAGCTTTGCATTATTTGGTGTTTATCTCCTACTGTTTGTGAATGTTGGAATATGTTGTTAGCAGATTTAGAGGAACAAAGGAAAGGAAAGTATATTCTAATTCGTGATGGTGAGGACTCTGAGTTAGGACATTTCTATAAGCCCCTTCCTTGCTTCGGTTGTGGAATCGGATGGTTCTCGTGAGTAGACTCTTTTTTCTTCTTATTATTGTGGATATATTGTCTTGCTGAAGCAGATTCTTTTTACCTGTTTATGTTAGTTTTCTTCTTGGATTCGTCTTCCCATTTGCGTGGTACATTGCTACATTTCTATATTTGACAAACTATTACCGTAGAGATCCTCGGGAAAGATCTGGTCTTGCTGCCTCTGCTATAGCTGTAAGTTATCGGATCCAAATGCATTCTCCTCGAATTTTGCTGTAAAAGTGGATTTACCAACTTTTTTTATTTTGCTTCAAAATTGTATGCAGGCTTTGATATTCTCTGTTGCACTTGTGATCACCGTGCTTGTGCTTGTTTTCTCGGGTCGCTAGAGTCTTGTTACACTTTGCATATTCTTTCTGAGTTTCAAAGGAAAACAACTTCAAGTCTGTTTCCACACCAAGTGAAAATTTTCAATTTGATGAAGAGTATATCGGTTTTAAAGAGAAGGTACTGCTAGTAGTCCTTTTAGAATCAAAATATGGTTTGCTTTGTACATAAGTCAGTGTATACTTTTAAACAATTGAAATGAGATATATATAACTCTTGGAGATTTATGTAGTTTCAGGCTTGTATTTTAAGCCAGACAAGAACCCTAGCCGAGGTTATGTCTGGTTCTTATCTTCCTTCTTCAAAGTCTTTTCTGTCTTTCTTTCTTATTGAACCTCAAGAAACAAAAAGGAATGGAATTAAGGGAAGAAGCTTTGACGATTAGGATTTGTATTGCCTCTATTGTCTAGTGTTATTTAAATCATCATCTCAATCACCATCTCATCATCAGCATCATCATTTATTTCATAAAAGCTGCACCTTGGAACATCACATCCAAAGATTGCAGAAAGTGTCGAGTCTTTTAAAGGACCATAACCGACGAAGATACTAACTAGTGCAAACCAAACCATTTGGTGAATCAGATTAATCTTGGAAAGAACAAACACATGAAACAATTTTACATGACAGTTTAAAACTTGCAATTTCTGTCCTCCTCTAATACACTCTCATCTCTAATCTTCACTCTAATAAATGGCCTCAACAGAACAAAAGTAATTAGTGTCAATCCAGAAACGGTTAGAATCTCAATTAGTGTCTTTCAAGCTGAAAAGCTGCTTTCTCTTGAAAACCAAGAAGACAACAACGAGGACCTGCAACATTGCTATCAACCCAACAAAGACTAGTCCCACCGTCTTCCCTTTGTTTAAACCACCGCTTTTCGATTTCTCCGGAGGCCGAGGAGGAGGAGGAAGCCGCCGTGGCAGGTTCTTTTGGGAAGGGGGTGGAGGGGGTTGTGACCTCGGTGGTGGTTGAGGTGGTGGCGGAGAAGACAGAGGCTTAATCATATCCGTGACTGGAGGAGGTGGTGGAGCAATGCCTGTATCGACGCTCACATTGACAGGTGGAGGCGGCGGTGGTGGTGGTGGTGGTGGAGGAGGAGGAGGAGGCGGTGGTGGTGGCGGTGGAGGCGGAGGAGATTGTGGGATGAAAGGTGGGTCTTGTGATTGGACGAGAAGGAAACTATTACTGCTGAAAAACAGAGCGAGAATCAAAATATTGAGGCTCCGAGATCTGAACAGAGATTGAAGAAAACCCATTTTTGATGAGATTGAATCAAAAAACGGTCTTCTTTGTCTTCGTCACCGAATGTGGCATCGGTAGAGAAAAGACATAACCTTTCTCTGTTTTGTAGGAAAATTACAAGTCTCCGTTTGAATCCAGATTTTGTGACAAATTGAATTCAAAAGAGTCTCCAAAGAAAAAGAAAATGGATGTCACGATTGGTGGAACAGTTTGACCTAAGAAAAACTTTGAGAGAGGGTAAAATTTCCCCGGGAAAACTCAGAGAGGGAATAACGGATTAAGGCTAAATATGGTGAAGATAAAAGTTAGTTAATTTTCCGGTAAGAAAAAGGTTTAGATTTTGAAAGTTAGTTATAACTTATAACTCTCACAAATTGTTTTATATTTAATATAAAAAAAACTGTTCATTTGTTATATCCCAACAAACTCCTTCCATGGAAGAAGTTAATTATATTTTACTAAGAACCTTGCAATTTTTAAATATACGATTTTAACTTATTAAGATCTTTTTATTTTCTTTCAATTTTTACCATGTGATAAACAATAGCATAATTAGTAAACCCAAGAATTCACCTACAAATCATATAAGCATTGGCATAGAAAACAAAGAAAGAGCAAAATGCAGAGATGAAAAATGTTTTAACGCTCCTTTGCAATCTCAGAGAACTGAACAAGAGACTTTTTTTCTAGCCGATGAAATTACAAAGACGAGACTAAAATCTAATGTTTTCTGAAGTCTGATATGGTCTTTTTTTCATGTACATGTATTTAGAGTAAAAAAAAAAAAAGAGATCATTTCCATTGCTTGATTATGCACATCAACTTTCATCTGAAAGTGTCATTTTTCCAACAAAGCGAGTATCTAGCGCGACCCTGAAACAATAAAGCTCAAGATATATAATCGACTTAATGATGATGCTCATATACCATGTCCTTTCACTCATCATCAGTTATGACTTGGATATTGTTTAAACTTAAACAATTGAAGAAACCAGAAAGCTAAGTTGAAGTTCAATGGGAGAGAACACATCACATCAAAGTTTTGTAGATTATCTTAACCAGAGAAGAAAGAGAATAACAGAAAAAAGAATGTGCTTACACAGTTTGAGAATTCCGTAGTCTTCAGTTTTAATTAGCCCCATGCCATGGAACAAGCATAGTTAACCACCAGTTTACCATCAAATCCAAAGTTCTACACATACCAAACCAGCACCATGTAAGGAAAAAGAAGACAGTCCAAAGAGTACTTATAGAAACAGAGATTCTTGATGCACAAACAGTGATAGAAAACAAAAACACTTACATTATAAAGATCAATGACTGATTCATCAGGGTTTGGCGAGAAAGCACTATTCACATAGACAAACTTACAAACAAAAGAGTAATGTCAGACCGATTATCGCATTCAAAACGATTCAAAATACAAATAGAGAAGTAGCTGTGTTTTGTTTACCAATGAGTCAGAATGAAGCTGTCTTCTTAGAAAGTCAATCACTTTAGCAAATTTATCAGTCCCCGGAATCTATTTACACCAACATTCACAACACACAAAGATCAAAATGTATTTTACGAAACATCAACACTCAAATTCATCAAACTAAAACATGAGAAGATCGATTAATGGAAGAATTGATAAAAAGAAAGAAACCCTAATTTGCGTGGAAGATAATACCTTGAACTTAGATTGTTTAAGTATAGGAGCACCTCCAGTAGCTCTTAGATGAACAACAACTGTCAGAGAAATATAAACCCTAGAAAATATCAAAACCAAAGTCCTACGAGAAAATCTTCAACAGATATACGTAATTGAATCGATTGATTCATGGATTCCGTCGATACAATTGTCGAATTTCATAGATTAATCGAAGACTAACCTTTCCGAACAGAGCTCGGGGACGACTCCATCGCCATTGATGGTTTGTTTACGTAACTGAAGAAGACGACGTTACTCTGTTTTTCTCGTCTATTTGGAGAAAAACAATTTGAGCCTACGTTTTGGGCTTTTAAAGCCCATATTAGATTGGGTTTTAAATAAACAATTTTCTAAAGGATATAATGTGGAACGAATAAATAAAACACAAGATTCTAATTTCATATCAACTTTTTCTATTAGCTGAATGATCTGACACAAAATTTAGACGCTATAAGATAAATAAAATAATAATGAGAATAACAATTTTATTAAGTACTTGAACTATCATTTTCTTTGTCTCTATCTATCAACTTGTGGCATATGAAAGAAGAAAAGAAAAGACAAACCCAATAATTGTACAGATAGAGATGAATTTGGAATTTAGACTAATCAACCAACAAACAGCAACAACAACTATTTTGTTGTCTTGATCTATCCAAAGTTAATGCATCTGATATATTGTAACTTAAAATGTTGTTGTTGGATCTTTCTAAATGCAGCAATTATTGAAATTGCAAGTTAGGTCTAATGTCACACGTGGAATAACTTACATTATTGGGACTAACTAATCTCGAGTATTGGTATCTAATAACCATTTAACTTTAACGAAACAATATTGGGATCAATGTAATATAATCTTTTTTTCTGTCTGAAAGAAAACATAAAACAACAAAAAGAGAGTAAAAGAAAGAAGATGGAGAGGAAGGTGAGGCGAAAGAGATGTAGTTGATACGATGCCGTGTCGTCTTTCAGACAAAAAGCTGCAAGTCCAGTGACTGAAAACAATCATCTTCTTGGGCATCCAACAAAACATTCTTCTTTTTCTTTGTCATTTCTCGAGTTGTGCATTTTCCACATTTTCACATTTCCCTCTTTTTTCTTTAGAAAATATCTTTTAACAATTATTATAACAATTTCATCTTCTTCGATTCTATACCATTTTTGATGTTAGAAAATCACTAAAATTATCATTAAAATAATCTAAACCCATCAAATTACTGAATTAGTATAATTAATCTTCTCACAATTTCGTCAAGGCTAATTTTTCAGAAATATACTTGTTTAAAAGTAAAACTCTTAGTTCTCATGCTTAAGGAATAAACCCTTTATAAGAAAGAATTTAAAAAATTTTAATTGTTAATTTTAAAAATTTTAATAGTTAATTAAAAAGTCAATCGGTCATTTCATCTATGAAAGAAAATAATGGAGCAAATTTGTAATCTTTCTTTTTCCAAATTTCTCGAGCTAATGGAGCCCACAGGTGACGTGAGGAAGTAAGATTATTACTGTATAGGGATCGGAAAAAGAAGGGTTCACACGTGTGCACGCGCGACAACAACAAGACATGATCTGGCCACCCGTCACGTGCGGGATAAAGTCATATCCACTTGTTTTGGTCTGGCCACGTGGCCTCTCTTTATTCGTTTTCTCTCATATCTTCTTTCACTGTGTTGCATGGAAACAGAGGAAACGCGGAAGAGAAACGTTTCGGAAACGGAAAACGATTTTTTCTAAAATTACAGATTGAAAACGTTTTGGAAACGTATATATATTCATATATACATATATGTATAAATGATATATATGTATATATATAACATTAACATAAAACTATATTAAAGAAAAAATGGTTTAAACAATACAAGTCAAAACATCAAATATTAAATAGGTTAATAACTAAATTACTAAAAAATAAAGATTAAAATACGCAACGCATATGAGGCTATATCAGATACATGTTTGTTCGTAAATCGAAATACGCAACGCATTTAAACGCAAATTTGTGACTCTGAATGGTAGCAGTGAAATACCCGGTTTAACTGCGATTTAATAAAAAATGTATCATACAAAGTAAGTATGGTTATATAGTATAGAACAAATAGTAATGTTTAAATGGAGAAACAAATAATATGCACTTTGGGATAAATTTTTGAATGGTAAATAAAAAGGTTTAGTGTAAAAAAAATTCAAAATCGCCGATTTTTGTATCTTTACCTTTCACCTCCAAAAAAATGCAGAATAATCTTATGAAGTCTAAAATAATAGGCAATAAAATGTAGAATAATCTCTTAAAAAATTATTTTTTATCTAATTTCTGATAGGATAAGATTAGTTATAAGTCAAAAACGACGAGTGTTTCTTTGGTAATAAAACAAAAAAAAAAACTCCAAAACCAATAAGTAGCACAATATCAAATTTTCCATCATGCACTATTCTTCAACATATGCACATTTGGACCAATATATAGATATCTTAAAGTTTTTTTTGTTGATCTGGAAAGTGAATCAATGCAAATTATGCAATTACCTAATACACGTAAAACTTAATTATACCATGTTTGATCGGTCTGATCTATGAAAACAAACTATTGAAATCTAATTAAAATCCGCTATATTATTTTTTTGAGTCATAAAAACTCGACAAGATATTCGTATCAAATCATGATTATATTTTTTGTCCGCTACAAGTCTACAACATCTTAATTAGCTTCTTCTTCTTCTTTTTCTACTACATATTTAGTTATACTTATACCTACATTACATGATCACATAGCTATGTAGTTTCCAATGTGTTAAGGCATCCGTGAGTGCATGAGAATGACGAGACGTCGTGCATGCATGGTTGTTATGGCACATGGTATGCCCTTCGCTCTTTATTATCATATATACGTAAATTTATGACATTGTTTTACTTATGATATGTAGCTGTCTAATTGCTTTTATTGATTGATATGTTCACCAACTTCTTGCTTATACTGTCCACTTGAAATTTTTTTTTTAAAAAGGTATAGTTACATATAATATTTTTTGAATTGATTTGCTAGGTATTCAAAAATTTAAGAATCAATTATGGATTGACAACTTTTTTTAGTAGTATTTATGGATGTTGCCATTTTGTCTAAAATTTTATCGATTTGTCATTTCTTCACGGTATAAAATTACGATTTAACATGTGTTTCATCCGTTATATATGAGTTAGTCGGTTTTATTTGTTTTTATGGTTTAATATTTATTATAAAATATGTATTTTAACAAAAAAAAAAAATCATAACTATGAATATTTTTAAATGTTCAAAATGACAAGTCCGTAAATTTTTAACAAAAATGGTAAATCTGAAAATATCATTACGAAAATGTCAAATTCCGTAATAACCTCGTTGAACAATTTGCAATTTAACCTCAACGGAAACATCGTATATATAAGTAAAATTTATTATACCATGTCATCGGATAAACGAATTTGATATTCTTAAGTCAAATAATATCGTATCATATGGGGTAACATAACATTTTATATGTTTAAAATACGCGTGAAATCAATATCTATTTATATAACATTACGTCATTACCACTAAAATTCACTTTTTTTTTTTTTTTTTTTTTTTTTTTTTTTTTTTTTTTTTTTCACTAAAATTCACTTTGCAAATATATAACCGTATGAGTCACAATTAACTGTATAGTGCTTTATTTTTCTAAATTTATTTCACTGTTTCGAGTGTTAATTAGCTCTCTAAATTTTGTCGAACCGGGATCATAATGGATCCCAACAATTTTTAGCATACGCAGATTCTCTATACGCCACCGCCACACTTAAAAATGAACTTATGATGACTAACAAATAAAACTGACTAGTTTTCGTTGGTTTGATATGTTGAGTACGTAAATCTAATTAGGATCAATAATTTAAAGAAACTATGATTAGTTATGACTTGTGAAAATTATAACTGATTATTTATGGTAATTCGTTTTGTTTTTTTAACCATGTTGCTCCCTTTATAGGATTTTTTCTGTTCATGGCTACGGATTATCCCTTTTTCTTTTCTTAATTGTTTTATACTTTAACAAAGTGTACTTATCAAAATAAAAATGTTTTAATAGCTTTATTAAGTGTGTCGTATCATACTGTTATGATGATTAGGCTATTATTAAACCTTTATTACTTATGTACATATACGATGAATTCATATTTGGATTCCAAGTTATTAATTTAAGATGCATTAGTATAGGAATCGTTTGTTAAATTAGTAGTACACACATGGTAGGTTAGTTTTCGAATATTATGGAAAAGAAAGCGTGTGATGTATAGTTGTATACAAGATTTATCATGCGTACAAAGGGTGTAATTTGGATTTTTGAAAGATCAGAAAATTATCATGCGTATAATCCAAATGTAATCTTAAAGTCGCAATTTGGACAAAAACAAGCCAATGAAATCCAGAAAACAATAGAAAATATATAAAACGCTAGTAAAAAAGAGAATCAAATTATTGGATACTCTTGTCCATGACATTTGAGACCATGTCTCTTTCACTCTTGTCCCCTATCTTATTGATGATCATAATTAGTATTTAGTAACATCAAATCAAATATATTCTACTTTCCTTTTTCTAAAGTTGCGTCAAGGAAAGTAAAAACAACAGAAGCATTGGTAACTGAATTCCAATTTGGCGGAGATTGTGTAGGTGCCGTTACTCGTTAATTAAGTGGTTTGTGAGATTGAAATGGGTCTATATTTTTCCGCAAATGACCTCCATATTGTTTTTAGCAAAATAGACATATATCAATGATATCACCACCATTAGAAATCTATGGCTTTGAATGGTAACCCATTATCAAAGCGGTACAGAGTGTACATCTTTAACAGTTATCAATCACAAAAACTTTATCAAAAACGTTACTAATAGTTTGACTCTCAGCTTTTTTGTACAGCTCTTTTTTACAGCTTTGCATTATTTCGGTAAAACTTACAGCTTTAACTAACATCTAAAAAACGTGTACAGCTTTTGGTTACCAATCAGACCCTATATAAACATAACTCCATATTGTTTTTGATTGGTCTGTATATATAAATCAAGAAAACAAAATTGAAAAAAATTAAAAAAAAGATGAAAATAGAAAGCATAATTTATGAAAGGGTGGATCCCATCAGGTGACATGATAAAAAAAATTCAACTTCCCTTTGCTGTCCAAATTGAAGACAAAGGTTAGAAAATCTGCCTTTTGCTTTTTTAATTTTCAACTCATCTTCAATGATCTTCTCTGGCGCTTCTTGATTTCAAAGTTGTATTTAATTTAGTAATTAACTAAATCAAAAACTATAATCAAGAGCTGACCAAATCTAATTAGTAACTAGGATTTGACCCGCGGTACACCGCGGGGTAAATAATATATGTATATATATATTGTTATAAATTTATGATATTGTTGTATTAATTTTTGATGTTTTATTGGTATAAAATTATGTTTGATTTTGGGTACACTGAGAATCAATTTTTTTACTATAAATTTTAAATTTTAAGTTATATATGTTTTATTAATATTGTTTGTTTAGTTTAGTTTTTAAGATTATATAATTGTATTTTGATTGTTAATTCTAGGATTTTACCCGTGGTATACATTCCCGTATTAATATCAATTCAAACCCGTCCCACCATATAACCCCGTCCCGTGAAATTAAACATTATTTTGTTATATTCTTTTTAATGATATTTTTTTAAAACACATATATATAACATTTAACATTTTGTTAAATCATGGGCCCGCATTAAATGAAAAGAACTTTGTTGATTTTAGGATATGACCAATGGTACACCGCGGATAATGCTTTTTAATAAAAAAAAATTAGAACTTAAAACTTGTAATATTTATACTTAATTTCTATTTTGAATAATATATAGATTTTTGTTTTTGTTTCCTTTTGCAGAATAATAGAGTTATTTGGAAGTTCCCTATTTTTTTTTTTTTTTTTTACTATTATGTATGATTAGTTCCGCAATTGTAGTGTTTTCTTTGAGTGAGTAGAAAACCTCTTGCTAAGCAAGTATAAAATATCTTCGTTATATAATATATTTGGAAATGATTTAGGAAAAAAAATAAATTAGCTATGGAATATGCTAGTAATATGTTAGAGATTACCATTTTTATAGGAAAGAAATCGATCACATTTATGTTTATTTTTAGCATTCAAATTTTATTTTATTTTTGGCAATAAATCTTTAATGCCATAACTAAAAAACGTTAGAAAAATTAATTTTTTTATTAGCATTAAATTAAAAACGTGTATCAAATTAATTTATTATTAGCATTAAATATTGATTTGTTAGAACAATATATCAATTTATTGAGCTTTTTTAGTTATGGTATTAAAAATTTATCATGGTTTTTTTTGTTAGCATTTAAATAGGATACCATTTGATTTGAAAAATATTTGTTTGTTATAACTACATATACGATTTCTATATTTTCAAATCAATAATTTAATTTTTTTAAATGTTTTTATGGAATAAAGCCAATTAATAATGAAAGATCCTATCGAAGATTTTCATTGAATATTCTCCAAAAATGTATATATAGATAAGGATTATTTGAATATTTCATTGAATTATGTTAGCATTAAATAGATAATTATATTTGTAATCTTTCTATATAGAAATAACTCCTAAAATATTGAAAATATTACCAATAAATGATTAAGAATAATTAGTTTCTATTTGCTAGATGTATATTCGAGATTATTTGTAGATTTATTATCTTTTTATATAGAAACAAATTTGACAATCTGAAAAAATATTTCATATATTATTTATAGAACTATATGTTTTACTTACTTTTTGTAGTTACTACAAAATTCTGAAAAATATATTATCAATAAAGAATTATAAAATCGAAAAAATCGTGACTTCAATGATCGGATTCTTTTGGTGATTAAAAGAATCAAGAATTGAAAATAACACCAAAAAAATTAATTTGAAAGAATGATAATAATGGTAAAAGTGTAAACACGATAAAACCTTAAACCTCAAAATATTTGATCAACATTCATTTTCAATTTCATTCTGACTCCCAAAAAAAATATTAAAAATATCAGAAGCCATGAACTCTTCTCTTTTACTCCATCATCTTCTTCTCCACATCTCCATTATTTAGCAACATTCGACCACGATGACTTCCTCCACCACATCTTCTCCTCCACTCCTTGGCCCTCCTCCATCCTCGGTGAGGATACTCACCCAACTTTCGATTGTGTCGCCGTCATTGTATAACCTTTTGTAGATAATTAGCAAGTCCTCCAACAAAGTCGAGAAGAATATTTCCGATGCTCCATCCGACTGTGCTCTTTCTAGTGAAGTTCATCTTTGCCTGTGAAGAAAAGAAAACACATGAATCTGAATAATGCATCAATTATGAAAAAAATTAAGGTTTGGAACCGTTTCTGACCTGTGGAATGTACTTGACGCATGTCATGACGACCTGAATTGAGCTATAACAATGAACACATAAAACATTATCATCAACACTATTTAGATTAGCATTAAAAGAATTGATTTAAAGCTCTGCGCAGCAACTTACTTGAAGATCGAGATGAGCCATAGCCAAGAGTATGTAGGTAATGCTATGAAGAAACATATAGCTGCAAATGCCCACACAACAACCACAATACCAGATTGAAATGATTTCTTTGTCTCATAACCATCCTGATGACGTAATATCTTGATAGGTTTAGATCTTGGAGGAATGCAAATGAAGCTTCCATTGGGAGATGAAAGTTTCTTTTGCTAGATTTAGGAAAACGTTGTTTTGGAGTTCGACGATGTGAGAAGAGGCCAATAGCTCTAGTATTTATAGTGGTTTAAGTTAGGTCACAAAGATCTTGGTGACCAAGCATAGTATCTTTGAAATCATAACAAAATTGGAATAAAATATAGGTAATCGTTTAATGTAAAGGAATATGCCATGAAATTTGTGTTTAAAAGTAGTAATTAGTTTGGATAGATAAGATTTTATGAATATTATGCATCATAATTAAGGAAAAACGAATTGTTTTATAATTAATAAATAGTATCCATATCGTATAATATCATAACAAAATCAAATTCTAGATAAGGAAACAAAAATATTTAATAGTAATTAGTTAAATTTCTACAATAAAATCGACAATGTTAAGATAATATTTCAATACCACGATTTTTTTAAAGATATGAGAATAAATTAGTTTTAACATTTAAAGCAAATCAAACAATGGTAATTAAGATTTGATCACGATTAGCTTTTATTAGTAGTTTATATTTAATAGATTTGTCCCGAGATTATGATTATTAATAGTTTTTAATTTTAAATATTTGATTTCCATATTTTAGGATCTCAAATCTCGTTAGCATAAAAATAGGAATTGTTTGGTGAGTTAATTTATTGTTTTGTAAATTTGGTTAAGACAAATATTTTGTCAGATTTTATTTGTAGGGACTAAATGTACAATATTGAAATTGTAAAAGGATTTTTGAGGCCAAATCTTCACCAAAAATGTATATATAGATACAAAACTCACAATTTACTTACTACTAGTAAAACACTAATAAGTCTATAACATATCACCAAAACCAAGTAATTAGTTATTAATAATCATCTTGAAATAATACGATTAGTGTTCAAGCGAGTTGTTTCATAAACCGGAAGCTCTTCTCGATACCTATCAATTCCAATCGCCGACAAATTATCCAACTCGAACAAATCAGAGCTTGTGCAACTCAACGCATCATCATCGTCGTCGTCTTCACCACCGGAGATTTCGACGACGTCTTTATTCTTCTTCTGATAAGTTCTTAGAAGTTCTTTAGCTGCTTCGATTACACGACGATTCTCTTCCATGACTCTGATCTCTAGAGTATCAAAGTTTTGATGATGATGACGAGTGGATTCATATTCACGTTCGTTGTTTCCGTACAATTTGTTCTTGTTGTTGTCGTACTTGGAGGAGGAGTCTTCGTCGAAGATGACGTTAACGGGACAAAACCGTACGGATCTTTTCGATTTTTCGCTAGACGATGGCGTTTTGCTCAAGCAAGATCTGGAGAATGATGATGCAGAGGAGCATGTGGTGGTTGAGGACGCTGTGGCGGGGGCGGTGGCGGAAGTGACGGTGGTGTTGATTTTGTTAAGCTTTTTAGTGTTTCCGGCGCCGGTGAAAATGGAGTTAAGGAAAGTAGCGAGACGACCACCGGGAGAGATGGGTTGTTTAACTTTCTTCAAATCGCTATAAATCTTCAAAGCTTTAGATTTCGTTTTGAGAAAGCTTCCATGTTCTTGTTTACTGTTAAGTCGGTGGTTCTGAGGAGATCGTTCGAATCTCTCGACGGTGGTTCGAATCGGTTTAGGATGAGAAATCGCCGGCGAGGATTTAGATCGTCTGTAGAAAGAATCAGACTCTGAAGAGGAGAATCCGCTTGAGTCAGAGGAGCTAGAGCTCGAATGTTTGAAGAAAACAGGTTCTATGCTTTTAAGATTCTTGGATCTGTTAAAATCGTCACGGCGGTTAGCAGAAACACGAGTCTCCTCGTCGCGGTTTTGATGTTTGGTTTTTCTCATGGAGGAGGAGTTAGTAGAGGAATTATCGTCGATGGAGCGGTAGATTTGGTCGAGGAGAGAGGAGGAGAAAGAAGGATGACGGTGGTCACGGCGGTTACGGAGACGGTGTTGTTGTTGTTGTTGGTGGTGGTCTAGTGGTTTGTTGTAGTTATCCCAAGGATCCATGAGAAGAAGAAGGAAGTGATGATTCTTTATAGAGGAAGAAGGGAATGATAGTGTTGGGAATGTGGTGAAGAAGAGGATGCGAATGATGAAGAGAGAGAGAAGAGGCACGCTTTGTTGTTTCTTCTGATTGCTTTGCTTTGAGAGAGATGAGAGTAGTGTGTGTGTATGAGGAAGAGGAAGAAGAAGAAGAAGGATGAAGAAAGTGAAGGGGTCTTTGTCAGCCAAATAGTATTCATTGCCACGTGTTATTTTATTTTCTTTTAGTTAAATATTTAGGTGGAGGAATTTGGGTGCCAGACTAGAATTATAAAGTTGTTGGCAACATTATTTATATATTTTTTATTCTGTCAGAACTATGTTTAATTCTTTAATTTGCTCAATATATGTAGCTTTGTGGGAAAATAATTTATTTTCCACATTTTTGTTTCCAGAAAAGTCAAAAGCACAAAAATAAAACATGTGCAATTTTAAGTAATTTTTAATTTTTTAGGTATACAGAAAAAAAAAATGTTGACGAAAAAATGTTTAATTAAGCAAAAAAATGTTAATATATATATATAATAAAAAATTATGCGAGAAATTTTTTCGTGTTTTTTTTTTGTATTTTTCTAATTAAAAAATGTACAACTCACGAATAAATTACGAAATTTAGATCCAAGTTAAGTAAGTAACACTAGTATAAACAATTAGTAATTACTTAAAAAATAAAATACAACTAGTTATTTAACTTGTTATAACTTAGTTATAGTTATAGTTTGGTTGCTTCCTATTTTAAAAACATAATGACTTATATGTTTCTCTATTTTTGTAAGAAAAACAAATCTTAATGGATGTTTATGTCTCTTGACAAGTCATTCTTTTTAAAATCAAGTAATCAACAAAGAACCAAACTAAACAAAAGTTGTACGTGTAATTTAATAACAAGAAAGAAACATAAATCGTTGATTCATAACAGCAAATCCAATATTGATACTTGGGTCCATTACAGCTTTTCCTTTCTTAAATTTATATATTCGTACGTACTGTTGATTATTAAATACTGGAATTAGTAATTACACAACATTTACTAGTAATTCGATACATATTTGTAAAACTCAACGACATCAAAGTTACCATTGACATTACTTTTAAGAATTTTGGATTTCTGAACAAATTTATATTTTGTTCTCGAACCTCTTTTCTGCTACAATTTTTTCATGATATTGTATAGTAGTTGAAAGTTTGAAGTTAGCTCCAATAAACTACATGATTACATTACACATTTCAAAAAAGAATTGATGTACATTTTTTAAAAAAAAGAAGTAGAAACTCTAGTATGTATTGCAGGCTGTGAAAATGTACAAAATTGTAGGCTGTCTTGAATACAATGAAAACGGAAGCAATTTGTCAAACTTTGAAGAAAAAAGCTAGGGCAAAGGGACAAAAAAGTAAGAAAGAATATATTTAGAAACCCTAGGACTATTATAGATATAGGATTTGCTTTAAGATTTTACATAAGTGGGCAACAAAAAAAAATGTAAATGCTGTGATGTGAAACAAAAATGGGTAAAAGAAAGACTTTAGACTTTAGAGAATGAATAGTCAAGCAATGCGGCTAAGAGGCTCAATCACATAATTTGACCTAACACCAACACCCAAACACTTCTCATGAACAGAAATTATGTTGCAACCCACTACCTTGCTACACCGTTTTATTGCAATCTTTACTTTTTAAAAAGTTTAATATTTATTATATTAATGTTGTCATTTAATATACATTTTTGTTTAGTACTACTGAAATAGATATTAATTGACCATGAACACCGATTTTATTAAATAGTCCGGATATAAACATGATGAATCTAAACTAATCTATAACATTTTGCAAAGAACTTGATATTTTGTCATTTTCAATCGTTAACTATAGTCGAATTCACAATGAAAAGACTCGAATATTAATTTGGTAATATTTCAAGTACTTAACCACCATGATTTAATTTGATATATATATATATACATATTCATAATCTTGGATAGATTAATCAATTTTGCTGGATATTTTCAAAGGACGAATATGCCAAGGTTTTTTTTTCTTATACAAGGGACTCCTAGTAACTTATTTTTAGACTGAACTGACTCAATTTCGAATAGTTGATTGGTATAGTTCATATGATTATATCTCTATTTATTCTTAAAAAGGCGAGACAAAAAGTTAATTATTAGGTTTCACGTTGTTTTTTTTTTTTGCTAAGCTTGCAAATATTATTACAAAATGAATGTTATGAGATTACAAAAACGTATTATCTAAGATAGAATAACCATGTCAAAAAAAAAAACATGGTTACACTAACAAAATGGAAAATAGTTCAGTTACCGTATAAACTCAAATAGTAACATATAGCTTAACACAGTATATAATAGACTCGATCATATGACTATGTGAGTATTCAAAATTTTATCAACGATCGTAAAATTCAAAATTGATTCTGTAGAAATTTATAACTACAACAAATTATGAGCCATCCACTTGATTGTCTTCACTGTTAAAATCCCTATCTTGTCTTTTATTTCCGCGAAAGTAAATTATTGATTTTCACCACATGAACATACTTTAAATCATTCTATGTTCCCCAATTTATTTTCACCTTTATCGTTCCCTTTTCATATGTTATTCTCTTAAACAAGCCATAATTAGTACTCTTAACATCGAGTCAGAGACTAATTGATAATTATTGAATTTACCACATTAAGTCGTACTTGATATATGGAGAGCTCCACGAGTCTCTGTTAAAGAGTAATTATATTTATGGCTCATTTTTAGGACAAGTATAAGGAAGTCTATGTCAATCTAACGTGTATTTTATTACTCAGTCTTTCGCATGTGATTACACCTAAAGGTATTTAAATACAGTTAGCTAACAGAAATACCTTTAGCCGCAATCTCTTTTGTAAATATAGTATGTCCGACCCCAATCTTTAATATATTTATTTTTTAAAATAATGAAAAATAAATAATATTACTTTGAATTATGATACACCTTGCATGCGTAATGCGTTACGCGTATTCGTACTGTTTTGCTTATAAAAATAAAGTAAATTATTATACAAATTTATCGACAATTTGTAATTACTTTTTTTTTTTCTGATTGAGATAACTTTTTAGATTAAAATAAGTGGAAAATGGAAACAATATTAATTAAGGGTTAATGAAACTATGAAAGCATGTTCAAAAAGTTAAATGGTGCTCATTTGCTAAATGATTACTCTCGTGGGTTAAGTATTATTGTATTAATAAGGTTAGTTTTTTTTTCTTTCGTTTTTTCATTGGGGCTGACAAAAATTTGAAGATATCGTTTACAAGTCATCAGTTGATAACCTTATGTTTTAAGTGATATTTGCAAATAACATAATCAATAAGACCATATTTATAAGAATTTTAGAAGTAATGATTCAATAACATGAGATTTCTTATTTGAAGATAGATAATTCCAAATGTTTGATTGAATATACACCCCCGTTTTGTATATAGAGATTCAAATGAGAAAATTGTTGTGTAAGAAATTGCAAAAATATAATTTAGATGTGTACGAGATGTTTGGTCATTAAATCCGACAGTTAACGTGTAAAGTGAGAAAGCTAAGAAACTAGAGACATACTTAAAAGGAAATGGGAAATTGATAAGTTTTTTTTTAAGATTTACTAGTTATTCTGTTTAAAAAACAAAAATAACCATTTCTGGCAAATTTTTGGAAAATTCATTCAAATAAATTAGCTAATATAAAATGATCGTCCCTTCGAATCCACGAAACTTGCCACTCATAACACCTTCTTTTATAACCGGACCCATCCTCGTACACTTTTGCTGTTCTTTACTTTTACAATATTAATTAACTTATTATATAAATTCGTATTCCTGTCTTTAATCAAACGAAATCGTATCATAAGATATGTCCTTAACGTGTACGAGTAACATAATCATGCTTAGAAAACTATAACTTCATTTTCATATCTAGCTAGCATAAATATGTCTATTAATAAACTAAAAATTTCATCAAATTTCCTCTATCAGTCTATGCTATGTTTATCTATATATAATATATCACCATATATATTTGTTGGAAACAAACAAAATTCTGAGTCGCAGAGCTTGCACGCATGTGTAGACTGCAGTTATAAGAAAATGACAGCTTCTCATCAAAAACAAATCGAGTTTTTATGCATGCAGTAAAAGGAGATTCCATTTTATTCAACTTGATAGAGAAATTATAAAAATTCGTTAAGAAAATTTCAGCAAGTATAATTAAGGGTTTAGGATTTAGGATTTTAAGAGTTAGGGGTCTTTAATTCCAAATCAATGATGACACTTTCTAATTAAAGATAGAATTTATTAAATACTATGTGTGTGTACTTAATTTTCCATTTTAAGCTAAGTTTCATATAGGAAGATAGGGGTCAAGTAGAGCCTAATTTCCCATCATTATCTCCTAAAAAAAGACTTCATTATTTAAAGATTATGCCACCTAATCTAATTATAAAACACCCTAACTGATGAACCCTAGTCTATAGGCCTCTCAAACCATTTTGAGTAAAATATAATTTATAAACTCAAGATACTCTACTGTGAAATCCTTGCTTTCAAGATATGGTAATAATTAAGTCTAATTAATGTTAGCTTTGACTCCTATAATCCTATCACATGTTATTAAAAACAAAGAAAACGATCAATGAACATTGGTGGAAGATGAAAACAAAAAGAGTATTAGTTACTCCAAATCACTCAAAGGCAAGTAAGTAGTTAGAAGTCCATAGAGAGAAATCATTTATCAAAAGGGTAAAAGAGAGGTAACAAATAGGCACTTGATTAAGATTCTATACCATTTTCTTAAACTAACACCTAATTTTCTATAAATGTCAACAACACCATCAATTAGATTCTTCTTGGCATGTTGTCACAATCATTTAGTGTGAAATAATTTACAAAAAGAAACCAAAGTAATCAAGAAGATAATCAAACTTGAGAACTCATTTTCAAACGTTGTTAAGTTCAAAAGTGGTTCATATTCTTAGTGCAGAAGAAAGTTGGGTCAAGCTCAAGAACCAATGTTTCTTTATGAAAATCCGGGAGAGTATGAAAGAAATGTTTTGGGGATCCCAAGAAAAGAAGAAAAGCACACAAAAGAATGACACAGAACTCAAAGAAGAACAATGACAACACAATCTTTTCTACGAAACATCACTTAAAACAACAGTTACTCTCACACCCCAAATCCCCAAAACCCTCTCATGGCGAAAAGAGAAAAAGAACAGGGTATTCCAAAAGAAGCACAACACTAAAACGACCGAGCACATGCATTAAGGTTCTCGTCCTGCTTTTCACAATGATTATGACATAAACCAAAACTAGAGTAAGGCAGGACGGGTTACCTGGTCAAGAGAATTAAACTAAGTTGTGTCTCTGCTGTCAAAGATTTGATACTGAAGCGGCCTGTAGAAGAAACGAGGGTACAAAAGCAGACATAGATTCATAGAAAACTGCGAGAATTGAGAAATTTATGCATTGAATAAAAGAAATAAGTAGAGTTTGGCCGTTTCACAAGAATAACAAACTATTTTTTTTAGGCTGTTTGTTATGATTCACTCAACAAGTAAACAAGTTAGATTTTGTTCAGAAGTTTGCTGGCCAGTTGAGATGACCAAGCTGCGGTTGCTGATAGGCACCGACTTGAACTGGAGAAGGAGATGGAGCAACCCCAAGCCCAGCGTTGCCACCAAGTCCAAGCCCCATATGGTGTGCATTCGCCATTGGACCAGGCTGTGGCGAATGGAAGACGCCTTGGAACTGCATATGAGACGATTGGACTGGAGCAGAGTTAAAGGATGACCGATAAGCACCGTGAGGTGTTTGTCCAGCCATGTTGTAATAAGCAGGTGACTGAAGGCCCGAAAGATTTTTTGGGTTATGCATCCAGATTTCAGAAGTCTCAGCCTTGAGTCAAAGAAAGAAACCAAATAAGACTTAGATTGGTAAAAGTAAATGGGAAAACCCAAATTGTAAGATAACAGAAACATACTCATGATTACCTGCGGATTAGGGACATATACATTTACGTCTTTATACTTCGTAAGAGATGAATCTTCATATCCTGGAGCATTACCAACTACATTGAGTGAACTAATTTGATACCCATTGGGGTTGTTGAAAGTCCCAAAACCCGTTGGTCCACCTGTGGAGACTTGCTTATATGGCTGGATTCCATATTTGAGTCCATTTGCACTGGGGTGAGAACTGCCTCCAGGCATCAGCACATAGCTATTGCAATTTGAAGGGTGAGCATATGCTGCTGGATTACTAGAGTATCCTTGCATGGGCATTTGGGGGACATAGACCGGAGAGAGGTACTGACGATATGGCATACCATTGGGAAAATGTGAAACATGAACCTGTGGATACATCTGTGCCATCGGCGCCTGTGGCTGTTGCAACATTGGAATTGTAGATTGTTAAACATGTGCGGATTTAACGATTGCTGCATGGCCAAAGGATAAAACATTATTTTAAATGAAAAGACAGCTACGATACATGCACAGTTCTATTCTTCTCATATCTGTTAAAATCTCTAAATGAATTTAGGGAGACCGCGTATTCAAACTACGTAGGAACATTAACAAAAAGAGAAATCACCTCCTGTGGAGAAGGTAGTCCTTGTCCCCGCACGTTTTCATCCATTGCTTGCCTGAGATACGGCAGGTCATAACCACCTTGAGGATCATAATCCTGTTGGGAATGAAGAGCATATCATGGACCAACACCAAAGCACTAAACAAGTAGTAGATAATATATATGCTACTCCTATAACAGGAAGCCTTTTTGCAACTTCTAAGCATATCTACAATATCAGTTCTAGAAAGTTATGAAAAAGTAAACTCACTGAAAAATTATGCAATTCGAGAGGATCTTGCTGCTGCTTCGGTTCTAGAGCAGTATAAGGGGAATTTCCACTGAGCAATTCAATTTGCGCATATTCATCCAAATTCTGAGATCTAGGAACCTCCTTCTGTTCAGACAATAGTTGCTCTGATGCCATCAATACAGGAGGCGGTGAGCCAGCTCCAGAAGTTCTGACTTCAATATCGAAAGTTCCCACGGTCCAAGTGCCAGAAGTACCATTGGTTGAAGCCTTGGAAGGCGAAGCAGGCAAACTGTCATCGGTATCACCGTGTTTAAGTTCTTGTGAAGAGCATAATACTTTCTCAAGTCCAGATACTGAATTCACTGAAGGATCAAACTCCAGAACAAAGCTACCAAAAGTCAGCTGACAGCGATCAGTCTCTGTGACACGAATGTGATCTGCAATAATGACATTCCGAATTTCACTGATACTAGCATGTGCAATCTTATCCTGCAACTTCACAATTTCTGATTCTGAATTTACAGAAGCGGGAGGGGCATGAGGTTTTTTAGGAGTTCCAATAACTCCAGGATTATCTCCAATAGATTTCTGATTAGATTTTAGCTTCCACTGTTTATTCTGATAACCTGCATGAGATAGATGTTAGAAAAGTCAATCAGTATCATGACAAAAACTAGCCTCATGATACTAGTGATTGTTGGTTCCAAGAATAAGTTAAACTAAAACGCATCATCAAATAAATGAAGTGACAACTTTTCCTTAAGCAACTTGGTAAGCATTAATCAAGCAAGAAAAGCAATACAATCCATTACATTCATTAAGATAGGCAGTGAAATTACCTTTTGATAGTACACCAGCTTGTTGTTGTGTTCTAACATATTGGTAGCTTCTATTCCCATGCTGACTGTTCGAAACAGACCTGTGATTGGGCGAAACAGACTCTCGTGCATAAGTTTGATTGCCTTGATCGGTTTTTGAGATTGGGGAAAATGGTCTATATGCTTTTGGAGCTCCATCTTTCCTAATTAAAGACCCCGCCAAAGATCCAGCTGTAGATGAATCTTTAAAAAAAGGTTTTCCATCAAAACCTACACCCCTAACTTCACATCTGATAGCTCCAGCAGCTGATGATCTAGAATCAGGAGATGGTACATGAACTGGATCTGCAGATGATGAATATACACCAAGAACAGAGTCGCTTCCCTCAGAGAGTTCTTTTCTTGTAGAACGACGCGAAGGAACATTACCAGTCTGCCTGGACCTAGTATATGTTGTTGAATTATAACTGTGAGCCCCATATGAGTGATAATCTCCTGAACCACCTGATGAGCTGCCAAACCATAAAACCGATCAATCATATTCAATTTAATTGATTTCAGAATATTATTTCTAATCTTGCCAATTGCCATCTCCTGAGAAGCTTTCAAACTTGTGGGGAAGACCTAACAGGTAAGTATAATAACGCTTTCTAAACTTTCAACAGATCATTGCTACAAAAATTAATGGAAATTTCTGTTTTTTGATATCACTGAAAAAATTAATGGAAATTTAACTAATAGTATCATCTAGATTATGACAACTGACAAGCAGGATCAAGTTCATGATATGAAACATACCCCTTTTTGTTCCCAATGGCAACCTCTCCGCTGATATTTGATCCAGAGAAATGGGCAGAAGTATGCTTCAATTCTTTATTTGCATTCACATTAGACCTGTTGTCTCTAACCACACGAAACTCTCTGCTGGGTCCTGTTGCATGAAACTAACAATCGATTCAGACAGCAGACAACATTTCTAAGTGAAATCAAGCCCATCACACAGATTCAGAAATCATATTAGTGGATAACATGTATCTTATCTCTATTTTTTCTTGACTGGGACCTAATTTTCTAGGTTCAAGCCAGACATACATTATATCTCAATGTGAAAGTTGTGTTTGAGAGAACGGATTAATGACAAATAAAAACTAGTTAAAACAACTTCAGCACAGGGAGAGCAAAAGAAAATGGTAAGCAAATGGACCATCATGATTAGTCACCAGTAGCGAGATTCTTAGGAAAGGAATGTCGAGAAGCTGCATTCCTGGGAAAAGCATTCTGATTGTTGGTTCCTCTCCAGACATTATGTTCACCCTGAGTACGAGAATTCACTTCTCTAGAAATATTTTCAAAAGGTTTTCTTCTCTCAGTAGGCTTTACAAATATTGCTTCCTGAGGCTAAAAAAAGAAAAAAAAAAATTATATTGGACAGCGACTAACCTCCAAAATGAACGTGAAAGCATAAAGAGAAATAGATCTTTCAAAGCATTACTCAAGAATTCAGCAAACACAGTGAAAGTAGACAAGAAGCCAAAAACTTTGAACCACCAATTGGAAGCAACAAAAAATATCAAATTCCATAACACAGTGAATGTATAATCGGATTCATCACTAAACATAAACAACCCTTAATGCAACAGACGATATAACTAGTGACACAAGTACTATCACTAAGCTTATCATCATCTTATTAATATCTCAAACATATGAGACGTTACCTCTTTCTTCTTGTCTTTTTTTCTCTTAACCTCATGGAATGGATCTGTGTATCAGCAAAAAAGGGTTTAGGAAAAAGCTCAATTATGATGATAGCCAAAGATAGAGAATATATCACATCATTGATTACAACTAAACACAGTCGAATAAAATCTTGAAGTTTCATTCAATAAGAAGAAGATTGTACGATTCCGTCAAAGAAGAAGAAGATAGAAACCTTGATATATGAGTTTGTGCACAGCCTCATCAGCGTCCATGTTAGTCTCTTTCAACGCAATTAAGATATCGGCATCAGAGTGATTACCAACAATTTCTTTAATCGAATGGATCATCTTCCTCGTTTTTTCATCAATTCCTATCGCATTACTTCTAGACCCGGTCACCATCTCCGACCACCGGATCGAATAAGCAAAAACAACAGAGCGGATTCAAGATAGTGAAAGGAAACACTTAGGACTAAATGAATTCGCTGTTAAACCCTAAAAAATCAAAAAGGGAATTAGGGTTTGGAGTTGAGAGAGAGAGAGAGGAGACGAAGCAAGAAGAACGGCTTATTATAGAGAGGGTTTGGGGAATTTTTCGGTACAGAAGCTGCCGCTTAAGAATTCAACATCAAAATGACCATTTTATCCTTTCCCGGACGAAGGGAAAAAAAACCGTTGCAGTTTCCGAGGTACCCGTTAGTAATTTTTGGTGAAGAAGATCAACAGTCAATAATTACTATAGTCTATAACCAATCCAATTACTATTAGATTTTGAGGCATTTAAATTTTGAATTTATAAACTTTAATTTGAAATTTAAACCTTACTATTCATTATTATTTCATGTTAATTCCTTCACTATCAAATCATTTATGGAGTATACTTGTATAAGCAAAAGATATAAATTTTGTACTTTAGAACTTAGAAGTAGGCCAAAATAAAATAAAATCACATACTCATTATGGTATTCCATAAATTATCAAATCAGAATGAAATGCTGAATAGTATCTATCTATCTAAATTAAATCTAACAAGAAGCAATAAAATTGAGAAGAAAGTCTTTGTTTAGCTTTTTGTTCAAGTAATCAAGTTATAACTTTGTTAATAAAGTCTTCTGTTGTTGTTTCTTCGTCTAATAGCTGCTCCACTTAGCAAATCTATCATCAAAGTCACAAGTATTGCTGTTGTATCCGAGCTCTGTTCTGTTCCCACCACAACCTCGCCTGTGTTTCCCCAAACTTGTCTCGGCTACATAACAAACACCACACAAAGCCATTTATCATCTTTTGTAACCAACATTGCCTCAATTTTCAGAAAGAGAGAGGTATTTAGTATACCTGAATCGAACGCGTCTAAGCTCGCGATTACCATCTGGTAAAGCTCTGATAGTAATATAGATACCAGGCTCATCTTGTTCTACCCATTCACTTTCCATGTCACTTGCGTTACTCACTGAGACCTCCTCAGATCGGTCTACCGAGCTACTTCTAGCAGAACCATTGATTGATGATGTTTCTGTCTTGGTTCCGCTGATGCTAGAGAGCTTTGGTGTTGAAGCAAGACCAGAAGAGCCTGGAATATTGCTGCGAGGTCGCTCTCTTTCCAGAGGTGGAGTTACAGGACTGTCCTTCGCAGACTGTATTTGTGAGCCCTGTCAACAAAGTTGTTCCAAGTAATCTATTTAGAACCTACGTAGATGATTTTGATTATCGAAGTTTAAAGTTGCAACATTGTATAACTATAACCCAAAGACAGATATATCCCAGAAAACTTTGGTTGTGATAGTCAATTAATAGTTTTGTGTGTTCAATAGTGAAATAGCATTACCCCATCTTCAGATACAGGAGGAGTTGGAAGCGGCACGCTCTGCTGATTGAACTGCTGCACGTTGTATAACTCCATGACCTTCTCGAAATTCTCCACCCACCATCTTTGAGCTTGCCATTTATTGAACATCTCACGACTGCAAGAAGTAACGATGTAAAAACATTACCATCTAGCCTCTAATCAACAAAAACTCTTTTAGCTTAGCCAAAAAGGGAAACAGGTCTAACATGTAACACACAAAACTCAGCATCCGCACAATACAAAAAATCCCCAAGAGATACCAATTCTGGGGCCAAAATTTTTATCCTTGACGGCAACACAACAGAAGCTAGTCTCTGTAATATGAAGCCTGGTGCTTCTTTGTTTCAGCAGTTGCATGAAAACCATTGACAACTAAAGACTTGTTAAGCTCAGGGTCATCTGGACTTCAATTGACTCAGCAAAAACACAAGTGTTCCTAGTACAGTAGTCCCACAAATAATATCCTCAACAATTGTCCTACTCATGGGTGTTACAAGAAGAAAAAAAAACCTCTATTTCCAAATTCAGAACCTAACATGCCATAACAAGATAGTAAAAGCAGATCAATGGGAAAACACACAGCATTTATTCAGTTCAATATTGGCTAGAAACAATTACCTGAACCGAATCCTCTTTAGATCATTCCCTCCCTGAATCAATGACACAAATGTGATGAGAACACCAGGCTCCACTTGCGCAACCCATTCCTTGGCCTCATCCTCCTCCATGAACACTATGGATTCCGTTCGGCCACTCATGGACGTAGGAGTACCTTCTTCACTAGAAAGCCCTTTTAACCTGGACTCCATTTCATTCCCCCAAATCTTTGGAGTTGAGCTTGCAGTCCCAGCTCTCTGGTATGCATAATGAAATCTCCCAGAATCCGAAGCAGCATCCGAATCAGCATAGTTTGGATTCTGATTCCGGTTTGATGTCCCAGAACACGGTTTGCAGTTTTTATATGCCCCTGAAGCTTTTACTGCCATGTCTTTTAGCTGAAATGAACAGTAGTCACATACATACAAAAGTCACATGCTTTGACAAAAAATTACAGATAAGAGAGTACATGACAATTCAGAGGAAATAAATGTTTGAAGAATTAATCAAACTCAACCAAGAAAAGAAATACTACAAGATTAAGACTAAGAGTCAAGTCTCTACCAAACCACGAGTCATGCTTTAACATGTTTTTTTTTGGTTCTTAGCTCCAAAACAGAAACCAACAAAACCAAACAATCCATGAAAGTGACTCAGCAGAAGGATTAATCTACCTGTGACGTCAGTGATTTAATCGCCTGCTTAGTCCTAGGAGTCCCAATGACTCCGTCTTCTTCATCGTCTTCTCGAGTAGATCCGCCATTGTTGGTGTTAAGCTGCTTCGTGCACGCTATACAAGTCAGCATCTCTCCCTCTCTTTCACACTACACGAACCCTAAAAATTCCTGAGATCAAGCTAGAAGAAACCCAAATCACATTTCAAGCAAAACCCAGATCAAATCTAGAAATTAAAGAAACTTCCAAACCCAAAATGACAATTCTTGCACTGTGAAGAGGCAAAAAAGACGTACACTTGCAAGAGCTCCGAGATCACAGAAACGCAGCGATGAAGAGCTCAAATTGAAATATGACCGTTACGCGAGAGACATAAATTAGGGTACACAGATCTGTAGATCAAACCCATAAATTCGCATTAAACTCTCTCTCTCTCTGTCTCTATCTCTCTTGCTGCTTCAAGCGACAGAGAGAATAAAGTATCGATCTTTCTCTCTCTCTCACTCTCTGTAGAAACACAAAGCTGAAGAAGAAGAATCTGCGGTTTGGGGAAAAAGTAAAAAAGGATTGAGATTTGGGCTTTTGAGTTCGTTGGACACTGCAAAACACAACACGAAGAGTGTGGTCTACCGTGTTTCTTATTGATCCTCTGTGCCACATGTTCGTTTTCTACATTTGGTTTTTTTTTCTTTCACAATTTTGATATCTATATATACATTTTTAGTGAAGATTTGGCCTCAAAAATCCTTTTACAATTTAAATATTGTACATTTAGTCCCTACAAATAAAATCTGACAAAATGTTTGTCTTAATGAAATTTACAAAACAATTAATAAACTCATCTAACAATTCCTAATTTTTTGTTTACGAGATATCCAATCCTAACAAATGGAAGTCAAATATTCGTCATTAAAACTCTTAATCACCATAATCTCGGTGATATCTTCGAAATTAAATCAACTAACCAAAAACTAATCCTAATCCAACGCATATATACCATTTTAAACAATTCGTTTAACCATATATGACAAAACATTATCAAATGGAAACTAATAAAACCTCCAAATCATTTTAATATCTAGATTTGCATTTAATTTACATTGCTATTAAACCTAATCCTATCTAACTTACCAAATATCTTTCGCAAGAATATCTCATCAGTTTGATTTACTCTCAAACTACCTTGAATGGTACCCGAGCTTAATGGTCCAGAATCGTTTTTTCCAGTTTTAGCAACAACATATATTCCTCTCAATCATTGAATCGTACCTGCATTAATTCTCCGAGATTATCTCACTTTAATATCTCTCTTATATCCATTTCTAACAAGAAATATATTACGATTACAAACTAATAATCACGCATATTCCTTTTATGTTGGGATCCAAAGATTTTATACCTAATTTTATTCTCCTAAATATATTTTTTTGCGTGATCACAACTCTACATGCTTAACCTAAATCATTTTACTATATATACTCTCATTTGCATTTCAACTCTCACCATCCGCAACTAAACATCTCACTTCACTATCCATCAAAACAAATATTAGAAAGACCACAATGGCTGCTACTTTTGGTTACCTCAAGGATGTTCGTCCTTACAAGATTGGCTGGAGAGTGCAGGTGAAAGTCCTTCACGCCTGGAAACAGTACACTTCTGATACTGGTGAGACTCTTGAGTTGGTGTTCTCTGATGAACTGGTAAGCAAATACAAAACATATCAATTTTCCTATACACATCATTTTATCTATTTCCTACCATAACTAATACTTCATTTTGCAGGGGAAGAAAATTCATTGCACTGTCAAAAAGGATTTGGTCTCCAGGTATGTCAACAGTCTAACTGTTGGAGATTGGGTCTTAATTGAGACATTTGGTCTTAGTTATGCTGGTGGTCAATTCCGTCCCACAAATCATCTCTACAAGATGACTTTTGTCAACACCACTACTGTATTTGGTTCTGAACCTAAGTCTGAATCAAACTACCTGTCTTTGGCCAAGTTCGAAAAGATTCACAGTGGAGAGCTTAATCCCCACATTTTGGTTGGTAAGTGATCTATTTATTAAATATGTAAATCATATATATTTATTCTTTTACTAAATTATATACTAAACATTTGTATTTGTTTTAACAGATGTCATGGGTCAAATTGTTATGGTATCTGAGTTGGAGAACCTTGAGGCTAATAATAAGCCTACTTGCAAGCTTGACTTTGAAATGAGAGATGAGACGTGATATTTTAACTCTCAACATACTCAGTTTATATCTTTCTATATTTTCAATTTACTGATCTTTTGTATTTTTTTTAGGGATGTGAGAATTGCAGTTACTTTGTGGGGGTCATTTGCTCAGACTGTTTACACAGCCTGTCAAGCTGCTGAAGACAAGACTGTCGTGTGCCTGATTCGATTTGCTAAGATAAAGGCATTCAAAGGTACCTAGCAGCTACTCTCAATTATACATACATATGTATCTACTTTCAGACAGTTTTTTACTAGAGTTCTTATATTACCTAGGTGTTAGGAGCTTATCAAATTCATTTGATGCTACTCAAGTCCATGTCAATCCAGCCTACCCTGAAGCAGCTGCTTTTATCCAATCGTAAGACTTGCCCTAATTATATAGTTCTTATTCTATTTTCTCCATAATTGTTTCATTACCTGCTAACTCTTATGTTAAAAATTAGACTCCCGGATGATGGTATAATCTGTGTATTCCGTGAGAGAGTACCAAGATTTGCTATTGTCAGTGCCAAAAACGAAGATTATGATGAGTTTCCAAGGAACACAATTTCAGAACTCATAGCTTCTATGGATGTAAGAAACTTTGCTTTCTCATTCTTTATATCTAGCTTTCTCTAAGTTATTTTTTTTATTTTCTTAGGTTGGTAAGGCAAGGCTGATGTGTACCATCTATGCCATTGATACTGATTGGGCATGGTACTACATTAGTTGCAAATCTTGCAATAAGAAGGTCACACATGTCCATGCTGGGGTTAATGGTGTCAACAACAAAGGGAAGAAACCTAGGTTCTGGTGTGACGTGTGCAAGTCTGTGGTCACAAATGTCATTGCTAGGTAATACTTCTTTATTCTTGATTTGTGTTTTCTTAAAATATATAGTTTTCAGTAGCCACCTAATTAACATTCTTATCTGTTATAGGTTTATGATTTATGCTAAGGTCATGGATAATACTGGTGAGGCAAGACTCCTACTGTTTGATTCAATTTGCTCTGAAATCATTGGTGAATCTGCAGCATCTGTGCTTGATGGCTCAGTTGATGAGGTATGTGCTACTATAATACATACAAAGCTTTTTTTTTGTTAAAACATACCAAGCACTGTACTAACTTATTCAATGCTCTGTAGATTGATGATCCTGAGGATTTGCCTGATCCGGTTAAGAATCTTATTGGGAAGACATTTCTCTTTCTGGTCTGGATTGAGAGAGCAAACATCTTTGATGGAAAAGAAATCTACAAGGTTTCAAAAGTTCTACAGAAGAATGGACTACTTGAGGAACAATTGGTGTAGGAATCTTCTGACATTGTCAATGCTGCCTCAATTGTATCTGGTGATCAGGTAATTCCTCAGGTTGATATATATAATCTTTGTTTATGTTAATCATCCAATTGTTAGTTTTTGACAACTTGAATTTACTTTTCTTTTCTATGGCCAGGTACCTCTAATGCTGGAGTGTAGTCAAGAGACTACTGACTCAATAACTCCATCCTCTAAGCGTGTTTACCCTCTTAATGTTGGAAGCTCTGATGGATCATCAACTTCAAAGAAGTTGTGCATTGCACCAGTGGACTTGGAGAAGTCTAATCCGGAGTTTGTGGGAGAGGTTGCTCTTGAGTTAGCAGATGTTAAGTCAGAAGACAAAGCAAAGGAGAATGTTGATATGAAGAACAAAGGTAAGGTGGTCGAATCTGAGGAGGTTAAGCATGATGATGGTGGAGCTGTGAAGAAGGTTGTGGTTAAGAAGGAGGATATCAAGGTGAAGATTGAAAAGAAGAAGTGATCTCTTTAGATCACTTTATGTTTTCATGTTTTCTAGAGTTTGTTTGTTATTTCTGTTGAGAACTATTGCTTCAGTTTATTTGGTTTTTGCATTTGTTTTACTGTTGGTTCTTTATGTTTTTAAGTTGAATCCTTCATGGGTATTCAATTTATATTGAATAATTAAGTTCCTTTTCCCTACATTTCATTGCTACTATCGTTGAACTATGTTATAAATACCTAAACATTACTATTCTATATGTTAATGTTCTCAGATTTAAAGTTACTATATTTTATTCATGAAGATTAACCAACTATATAGTTTGAGTAGACTTACTTTATGGTTTGCTTGAGACAGTATATGCCAACTACACCATAACCTATATACATATTATCCTGTAAAAAAAACAAACGCTTAGAGTCATTAAGTATGTTTACTTATATATCAATAATGTAATCATATGGTATATTCTTCATCTCCTAAGAATACATACTAAAGTATCCTTTTCTTATAATCGTATTTAAACAATAAATATTCATTTGAATATACTGTTAAGATTTTCACAATCTTTAATCGGAGATAAATATGGAAACTGTAAATATATCAAATCATTGAGAATCTTGCTTTTTCCAAGTTCATTGCTAATGTCAGTCAATAAGTAATCATCACTTATAGATAATATAGAAACTACACGGTTTTTGAGACTCAAAACGTTTCGTATTTCCTCTAACTTCTACTTCTATTCTTCAAACCTGTTAACTATCTTCCATATATATAAAGCAAAGTTTCTCTGTTCTTCTCCACGAAAACTCTCATTCATCAAACATTTTCTCTAAAACAGCAAATTTTCAATCACAAATGGAACCTCTTCACTACCTATCTGATTTGAATGTGAATTCAACAAGATGGTTGGTCCATGTTAAGATCCTAAGCATGTGGAAGGAGCCTCTGGTGAATGGTAGGATTGAGACCAGACTGATATTGGCCGATGAAAAGGTAAAATCTAAACATGACTATGGATTGTCTACTTTCTCTTTTATGATTGGTAGTTTTGTTGGATCTGATAAACTCATCTATGGAATTTATTGTGATTTTAGGGTAATAGGATCGATGCAACTATTCCAAATCGATATTACAATTGGAATTTTCAGGCTGTACTGAAACAAGGTTGTTGGTTTCGCATGAGTGACTTTGAGGTTCTGCGTCCTCAAGAGAAGAAGACAAAATATTGTTGCTTCCCATATCACATCAAGTGCATTGCAGACACTACTATGTGGCCTATTAGTGTTGAATGCCCTTACAGTTTCTTTGATTTTGTTT